GGCCTCTTAGTATTGATAATGGATAACAATATTTTATAACCTGGCATTCCACATCTTGTACTGGTAGCCAGGGAGCTATACTTACCAGTTGTCAACACTTGCCCAAAAGCTGAAAAGTAAGAATAAAGCTATTGGCCTAATCATTAAGGTGGTAATGAAGAATACCTTGAGACAGATTAGCAAGTAGAGGACCTAGAAAGAAAAATCTAAATTTTCTCCATTAAAATAAAGTGTTGGGCAAAGACACAGAGTGGAATTCATATGGAAAAACCTTAGTGTCTATATGCCAACAATTATTTCACCTGATAAAATATGTAAAATATCATCCTAGTTATCACAAGAATCACAACAGAACATTGGTCATTAAAGCTAAGGGATTAAAGTATTTTAAAAAAATGTGTGATACCAAAGCACTGTAAAAATATAGCTATTACGGAGTTGAAAAAGTTAAAAAATGGGCTGGTTGACACATAATTGGTACAAGAAGCAAGTGAGCAAACCTCTCAAGACACATTTCCTGCTTTAAATACCTCAACAATGCACTAAATCATTTTAAAGAACATGAGAGTCAGCAGCTCACAACTCTTAGAAGATAATTCATTTAACAAAAGACTAAAAAATTTAAAGTGAAAGAAAAAAACCTCAAGGGAGAATTTATAAGTAGAAAAACTTACTTTACCTTCACATCTCCATCTCCAGGAAGACAACCAAGTATCTACAGACTCAAGGACTACATAGTAATTACATGGAATGCCACTCCACTCAGTCATATCTACAAGATCTTCCCATTAAAATCTAAGTTCTTTACACAAGGTCCATAAATGGACTACATAGATCTACGGATCCTCACTCCATTGCTTGTAAATGTATTTAAAAGCTGTGCATGTGTGCATCTTTCTGTAAAAGATATCTGAATTTTTTTTTTTTAAAGATTTCCAGAGGAACTGTGTCTTCAAAAAAGTTACTGTATTGCTTCAGAATCAAAGACCTTGTCCTTCATTCTCATAAGCCTAATTTCCAGCTCACTGCTTTACATGAAACAGTATTTCATTTAAAATAGCCTCCTTGCCCTGGCCAGTTTGGCTCAGCAGTTAGAGTGTTGGCCTGAAGTCCAGAGAGACCCGGGTTCGGTTCCCACTAAGAGCACGTACGTTGCAGTTTGTCCCCGGGCCTGGTTGGGTCGTGCAGGCGGCAACCACTCGATGTATCCCTTTTGCATCGATGTTTCTCTCTCTCTCCCCCTCCCACTCTATCTGAACTAAAAATGGAAAAAACTCTCCTCTGGTGAGAATAAAAAAAAAAAAATTTAAAAAAAAAAAAGTCTCCTAAAAGGACTATTATTATGAGGGGGTACCCTAGTTAATGAATCTCTTGGTTGTGACACTTACATTAAAAAAATATATAGGCAGTCACAATTGTAAATAAACACTGATGTGTGCAAGAGAAAAGGCTAAGCTAAAGACCCTAAAGTAGCACAAAACAGAATTGACAAAAATGTCTGAAAGGCATCACTGAACTTGATCAATAACAGTTTTTAAACATCAAGTTTTCCCCTCAATCATTTGATTATATTTCTATTTTTCTGTAAACTTAGTTTGTGTTCTGGATATAAAAGCCATGAAGTGGTTTATTTAACTGAAATATTGATATCCCTAGCCCACATAGTACCTACCAATCATGAATTGAAAAGTTCTGTTAGGACTTCCAGTCAAGATGGCGGGGAGGTAAACGCGGTATCGCATCCTCCCACAACCACATCAAAGTTACAACTAACTACAGAACAACCATCATTCAAAACCACCTGAAATCAAGCTGAATGGAAGTCCTACAACTACGGAATTAAAGCAGCAGCCACATCCAGACTGGTAGGAGGGGCGGCGGCGCGACAGGCTGGTCCCAAACCCACGTGTGGCGGATAAAAATCAGGAGGCTCCCGCGGCTGGGAAGGTCCTTCCTGAGGACTGAGGGGTCCCTGTCCCACACCAGGTGCCCTGCTCAGGGTTCCAGTGCCAGGAAGAGAATCCCCATCACTTCTGGCTGGAAAAACCAGCGGAAACTGAGGCTCAGGGAAGCTGAAGCAACTGGAGCCCCAGACAGCTCCCTAAAGGGCCCGCGCACAGACTTATCGGACTCTCTCCCTCTAAGCTTAGAGGGGAGGCAGCTCAAGGGGCACCAGAGACACACAGGGAGAAACTGAGCTGTTTGGCACTGGAGCGAGGGCTGGAGAGGGGGCTTTCTCGGGGACAAACGTGCTGTAAGAGGCCTTTGTTCCTTTGGTGAGCCCTTCCCGGGGGCCGCAGACAGCCACCATATCTGGGACTCCACCAACCTGGCTCACACTGGTAGCCCCGCCCTGCTGACTCCCTGAGGCCCCGCCCCACCCCACCCAACTTTCAAGCCCACCCAAGCTGTTGCCACTTGCTTAACCATAGGATTGGCATGTCTTGGATCCTGCTTCAGGTTTTTCCTAAATTCTTTCTAACGAGCAGCATCTGGTCTCAGCGAGCCCCATACCTCGTGTTAATACACTGAAACAAACACAGGGAGGCAGCCAAAATGAGGAGACAAAGAAACAGGTCCCAGATGAAAGAACAGAACAAAACCCCAATAAAAAAACTAAGCGAAATGGAGATCAGCAATCTAACAGATACTGAGTTCAAAATACTGCTTATAAGGATGCTCAATGAACTTAGTGAGAACCTCAGTGAACTTGGGGGGGGCCTCAAGAGCATAAAAAAGGACCAGTTAGAAATCATGGATACACAGTTAGAATTGAAGGAGGTATTAACTGAAATTAAGAATAATTTACACAGCTTCAATAATAGAGTACGTAAATCCAAGGAGCAAACCATCAATTTGGAATATAAGGAAGCAAAAAATGCCCAATCAGAACAGCAAAAAGAAAAAAGAATCCAGAAAAATGAGGATAGTGTAAGGAGCCTCTGGGACAACTTCAAGCATGCCAACATTCGCATCTTGGGGGTGCCAGAAGGAGAAGAGGGAGAACAAGAAATCGAAAACCTGTTTGAAACAATAATGGCAGAAAACTTTCCTAACTTGGTGAAGGAAACAGACATACAAGTCCAGGAAGCACACAGAGTCCCAAACAAGATGAACCCCAAGAGGCCCACACCAAGACACATCATCATCAAAATGCAAAAGGTTCAAGACAAAGAGAGAATCTTAAAAGCAGCAAGAGAAAGGCAGCTAGTTACCTACAAGGGAGTTCCCATAAGACTCTCAGCTAGTTTCTCAAAAGAAACTTTGCAGGCCAGAAGGGAGTGACAAGATAATATTCAGAGTGATGAAAAGCAAGAACCTACAACCAAAATTACTCTATCCTGCAAAGCTGTCATTTAGAATCGATGGACATATAAAAACTTTCCCAGACAAGAAAAAGTTAAAGGAGTTCATCACTACCAAACTGTTATTATATGAAATGATGAAGGGTCTTTTTGAAGAAAAAGATAAAATGTATGAACAAACAAAATGGCAATGAATACAGATCTATCAACAATGGAATCTACAAAATGAACAGGTAGAACAGAAACATTCTCATAGATACAGAGAACATTTTGTTGGTTGCCAGTTGGGAGAGGGGTTGGGGGAATGGGTGAAAAAGGTGAAGGGATTAAGAAGTACAAATTCATTGCTAGACTGACAAACCTCAAAGGGAAAGGGGTTGGGGGTTGGGAAGAAATAAACCAAAGAACTTATATGCATAACCAATGGACACAGACAATAGTGTGGGAAAAGGTGGGAGAGGGGCGGGAGTGGGGAGGAGGGGGTCAATGGGGGGAAAATGAGGAACATCTGTAATACATTTTACATCCAACAATAAAGATTTGAAAAAATATATAAATAAATAAAAATCTTACCTTTAAAAAAAAAAAAAAAAAAGTTCTGTTAAATAGTGAATCAGATTACATCCTCTGTCTTGAGAACACTAGCCTAACATGCAACGCCATGGAAAGGTTAATGTGTCTTCAGGGTTTAATTGCTGAACCTACTCCCAACTCAAAAATATTAACTATAATATAATGCTCTTATACCATCTTCCTGATATTACTTAACCTCAAAGCAAGGAGAGGATCAAAACAAGAACTTGCCGTCTCAGCAAGTGACTTGCCTTGGCTGCACAGTAAGAATGGACTTCTCCAACCCTCAGTGTAGTCCAGATTATTGCAATCAAAATGCTTACTTTGAAAACAAAACAAAACAAACAAAAAAAAAAACTGTTCTTTAAAGTAATTGAGAAATAACATATTCATTAAGTTCCTATTAATGAGAAACAAGGAAGCTTAAATTGTGAAGTGTGAGAACATACACCTAGAATGGGTACAAAATTCTGGCAGTGCCCACTATACTGCACAAGGCAGTATACACACAGAGAGAACATTCAAGTTTTCAGAATGAGGAAAAAAAATAACAGCACCGAACATTTATTAAACCCTTATGTGCCAGGCATGGTGTTAAGTCTTTGGATATATTCTTAGTTGAACTTCACAACTGCCCTGAGGTTGATCCATTATCATTCCCATTGTACATTTGGGGAAATGGTATTTGAGAGAAAGAAAGGAGAGAGACTGCAGACCTATGCTTTTTGATGACTACACACATTTTCTACTCAAATTGAGAATCCACTAGAAAGCATAAGCTTTACTGATGGCTGACCAGTAGTATTATCTGTGTATCTCCTGTTATATCTTATATTATTATACATGTATTAGGTACTCAAAGGAGAGCACATGTCCTACTGTAAGACAGCTTCAAGGAAATATGTGATTTGGTCAATGAAAAACAGATAAAATCTTTTGATGAGTGACATGTATAGCATCAGAGAAAAGTACTCTAAAAGAACTGCTATATATAAAAGGCTTATTTTCACATAATAGTATGAACCCATAAATATCCTTATTCAAGAGTTATCAGTGATGAATACTAAAAATTAAATATTTTACCTCTCAACTAAATGTTTAATCAAATAAGAACACTGAGGGTGCATGTAACTTTTTTATTGAGGCACAACAAGGCATTATAGCCTGCCTGAACTCGAGGCAGTCAGTTTAGTAAGCTGAACGTTAATACGTTAAGGATTAAGTGCAAACAATATACATTCACAGCTTCACTAGCAAGGCTACATCACAATTTATAAAGTGCCAGATTAGTGCTAATTGTCATTCAGCTTGAAATTGTTGACCTTGGGGAGGGAAACAAAAATAAGGACCTCCTCCTTCCTCTAGAAATGAAAACACTTCCCTAAACCAATTAGTTGCAAGGTCAAGGACTACTTTTCCTTTAATTCCACTAATTACAACACCATCCTTTTGCTGTCAGTTATGCTTTGACTTTCAATCTTGATAAAGAAGGTAGCCTGAAAATGTAGAATATTTCCAACTACTTCCATAAATGGCTCCCCTGTGCAAACGTAACCATATCTGGTCTCCCTGAAAGAGTTGAAGAACTGCGTGATTGCTAGCAGTTTCGTGGTCTGGAGCACCGTCATTGGCATAGGCAGATACCAAAACCTCTTCATTCTTCATGAGGTTGACGTACAGTGGCACATTCACCGCCAGCTTTAGCATGTGAAAAATGAAAACGTATGTGCCATTCACTGGACAATTAAATCTACCAAGTTGAAGATCAAACGTTTCTCCCAAGTTGTTCAGAAGAAGATCAAACACAATAGGTTGGTCTAAAGTCCCGGGGGCGAGATTAGAGGTTCTGGCTGCTGAAAAGGCAACTCGCATCTGCTGAGGCAGGGGGTACACATGTACTGGCAGTATGGTGGCTGCTGGATTTGTCACGGGCACATCCACAGGGGTCATGCTACGGGAGTCTCCTTGTCCAGAGTCACCACTGTTGAAGGTTTCGTTGTCTCTTTCTGGGCTGCTCACCTGAGAAGAATCACTCCACCCTGCTGTTTTATTAGCAACAGTGAGTTTCTCATAATGAAGCAGTTAGCTTTGAACACAATATTTAACATTAGTCGGCTACTGAAACACAGATAAAGATACATTTTATAGTAAATTCCAAAACAAAAGCAATAAAGTATAACTATAGAATGCTTTTCAAGATTTTCCTGGGAATAGGTTTTATAACACTCTTTAAAAGCCAGAAGAGACCTGAGTGATCTTGTCTAGTAGCCTCATTTATTTTTTTAAGATTAAAAAAATAAGGCCCCCAAAATGTTGGATAACTTACCACTAGTTAAGGTTAGCAAAGTCTAAAACCCAGGTTTAAACATTCTTTTTACTTCTTTGTCTTTCTTTCATAATTCTCACCATTTTTTTTTTTTTTTTTTTTTTATCCTCACCCGAGGACATTTTTTTTTATTTTTTTTTTTTTTTTTCACTTTTTGTTCAGGTAGAGTGGGAGGGAGAGAGAGAGGAAGAGAGAGAGAGAGAGAAACATCGATGTGAAGGGACACATCGAGTGGCTGCCACCCACACGACCGACCAGGGCCGGGGACAAACTGCAACCGAGGTACATGCCCTTAGCGGGAACCGAACCCGGGTCTCTCAGGACCGCAGGCCGACGCTCTAACCGCTGAGCCAAACCGGCCAGGGCAATTCTCACCATTTTTAATTCCTTAGTGATAAACCTACTCAAAGTTTCTGATGTAGAAAAACTCAACAAAATTGAGATTATGTAAAATAACCAACTTTTAGAACTACTAGCTTTTTAAGGATATACTAGTATGGTACTAAGCCCATGATGAACGCATGTTCTTCATTTCCAAGTTAATGTCATATCGTGAAATGTTTTAAGTGCTGTACAAAAACACTGCTTACATGTAGGGCAACGCAAATACTGCCTACTTTCTTAAAAAGAAAGGAAAAAAAAGACTCTTTTCCTGTGACAAAGTTAGCAACTCTTCAGTAATTCTTGATTTTCTCTGTTACACTGAATCTTTAAATAGTACCTTCATATTTTATTTATTTATTTATCCTCACCAAAGGACATTTTTTCATTTTTTGTTCAGATAGAGTGGGAAGAAGAGAGAGAGAAACATCGACGTGAAAGGTACACATCGAGTGGCTGCCACCATCACAACCCAACCAGGGCCAGGAACAAACTGCAACTGAGGTCAAACTACAACCGAGGCACATGCCCTTAGTGGGAACTGAACCCGTCTCTCTGGACCGCAGGCCTACGCTCTAACTGCTGAGCAAAACCGGCCAGGGCAGTACCTTCACATTTTAAAAAGTATTACAAGTTTCCTGCTTTTGTTTCAAGTTTTAATTATATATCTTAACTGTTGCTTATTCCTATCTATCAATGTAACAATACTAGAGTATTTGCAAGTGCCCATTATTACAAAACCATCATCCTGAAACGTCCCATGAAACAATTTTAAGTCAGCATTGTGAATATATAGGGTGGGGCAAAAGTAAGTTTACAGTTGTTTGTACAGAAAATAACACAAGAATAAATTCTGTTTTGCATACTCACAATTGTAAACCTACTTTTGCCCCACCCTGTATATCGAAGGTTAAATTATGCTCTGGTGTCAAGAAAATTGAATCTCTCTCTTTCTCTCTCTCTCTCTCTCTCTCTCTCTCTCTCTCTCACACACACACACACACACACACACTTTCAATTAACCTGAAAACTGATTCCCATAGCTTTTCTAAGTAGTCTAATAACTCCCTCGGGTCTTTAGTACTACAACTTAAACAAAAAACCTCAATAAAAAAAATGCTGAAAACAGTGTATTTGAAGAGAACTTGACAGAGGGTAAGGCAGTTTTGGATAAACTACTCGATTATCCTTACCTCTTGAATTTGCCCGAGGACCACCAGATGTCCCTCCTCGCTTGTAACACTGCTGGAAGTTATCCTAAAAAGAACACATAATATTTTCCTTGGTACCAAAAATGTAAGACAATAATATTACCCAGGATTATTCGCTGGTAATTCTGTAAGATGCAAGTCCTCTTAGCCCTTTATCTGGCCTTCTCCAACAACCCAAGAGGCTCAGATGTTTCCAAACACCAAGAAAAACAAATAACAAGGGCAACAGTAGCAATATTTGCTTCATCTGTTAATAAACCAGACCAATTAGATAAGTTAATTTTTTTAATTGATTTGCGAGAGAGAGGAAAGGAGAGAGAAACACTGATTTGTTGTTCCACTTGTTTATGCATTCATTGGTTGCTTCTTGTTTGTGCCCTTACTGGGAATCAAACCCGCAACCTTGATATATTGGCACGATGCTCTAACCAACTGAACTATCTGGCCAGGGCCTAGGTAGGTTAATACATGCAAAAACTAAAGCATCTAGAGAACACTAAAAGATACAGCCTAGCTGATGTGGCTCAGTGGTTGAGCACTGACCCACACACCAAGAGGTTGCTGGTTCGATTCCCAGTCAGGTCACATGCCCAGGTTGTGGGCTGATCCCCAGTGTGGGGCATACAGGAGGCAAACGATGGATGATCTCTTTCATCAATGTGTCTCTCTCTCTCTCTCTCTCTCTCTCTCTCTCTCTCTCTCTCTCTCCTCCCTACTCTCCCTTCCTCTCTCTCTAAAATCAATACAGAAAAATATTTATTTTTTTAAAAGATACAGTACTAGATAATGGGAGAAATATAAAAATATGACATGGTCCTCTGTCCCTCATCTCAATATAAAAGGAGATAATAAAGCAAGAACACAGACTATTTCAATCTTGCCCTATTTATAAACCAAATTATAAAGACAATTACAAAGTATATTGGGGCTTTGTTTTGTCTTAACAGAGGAACTGATAAGAATTACATTGTATAAATGTATTAGTCCAAGGAAATGTAATCTATTATCTTGAAGAAAAAATGTTCAAGAGGCAGCATTTCAGACTGCCTCCTGGGTGTGGTAAAAGCCCTCCTCCGTTCAACCCATGAAAAGAATACTTAGTAGTATAGATTAATACATGTAATAGAAAATTTAAACAATACACGAAGGTATATAATGAAAATAATAATTAAACCTCCTACCCAGACTCTTAGTCCTCTTTCCAATAGCAACCACTACGTTTCCTCAGAAAGAAATTTAAAACAGTACACAAAAATATTACAATATTGTTGATAAGAACTGATAGGTCCCTCCCTGGCCAGTGTGTCTCAGTTGGTTGGAGCGTCATCCATACACTGAAAGGTGGCAGGTTCAATTCCCAGTCAGGGCATATGCCTGGGTTGCGTGTTTGATAAGGCAATGAATCAATGTTCTTTCTCATATTGATGTTTCTCTCCCCCCACCCTCCACTTCCCCTATTTCTAAAATCAATAAGCAAATATTCAGATAAGGTTTAATAAAAAAGAAAATATACACCCTGGCTGGTTTAGCTCAGTGGTTGGAGCGTCGGCCCACAGACCAAAGAGTCATGGGTTCGATTCCAACTAAGGGCACATACCTCGGTTGTGGTTCAATCCCCAGCCCTGGTCAGGGTCACGCAAGACTTGGCAACCAATCGATGTTTCTCTCTCACATCAATGTCTCTCTCTCTCTTTTTCTCCCCCTTCCCCCACCTTTCTTTCCCCCTCCCTCCCTCCACTCTATCTGAAGATATATGAAAAAATATCCTTGAGTGAGGATTTAAAAAAAAAAAAAGAAGAACAGATAGATCTGTTACTGAAATCTACATTAACCAACACACTCCTTTCACACACAGTACCTGAGGATCACGTAATAACAGCTAATATATGCATGCTTCATACACACCCAGCATTGTGGTAATAAACATATGTATTAGTTCATTTAATCTTCAGAGTATCTCCTATAGTAATCCTCAAAACACTTCAGAGTAGGATGAGCAATTGAAACAGATGAGTTTTCATGTAATGAATGAGGAGCTAGAGCTCAGAAAGCTTAAGTAACATGCCCACGGTCACACAACAAGAAAAGTGGTGAAATCAGGGGTCAGTCTCACCTCATTAGGTGACTTGGTATGTTCTCCAAGGTGCGTTCTTCACCTTTTCAATGCTGCCTTTGTACAGACATCCCTCCTTCCTCACATAACTGTAGGCTCTTTAAGGGCAGGTATTTTATACATTTCCAACAGAACTCAGTGTGATACCATACTTAAAGGCTTATAAAACTTCAAAACTTAAAATGTTGATGTAGTATATATACTCACATATGTCCAATGACAGGGAGTTCTCAAGGTTTGTTCAAGTCTAACACCCCCCCCCCCATTTGTAGCAAAGCAAATCTGCTGAACTATTCAAATCAAAATGAACAAAAAAATTAAACTTATTTAAAAAAAAAGGACTTGGTTATACTTGATATCAAGAGAAATTCAATTTAAGGCAATATAATAAAGTTAAAATCATGGGCTCTGGAGTTAAAGAACTTGCATTTTAATCTTAGTTCTACTTTTGCTTGCTGAGTAACCTTAGACAAGTTATTTAACTTGTTTCTAAGCCCCCATTTCTCTTATAGGGTGAAAAAATAAATGAGTTCATACAAACATGATTAATACAGTCCTTAAGACCTTCTAAGTTGTCATTTATCCTCCATGGGTTATTAGAAAAGCTTCCAACTCAACTCTTCACAGTACTTACAAGTAAAAACTAAGAGTTCCTTACACAAAACAAATTGTGACTGCACTACAGTATCATCACCAGCTTAACATCAACAACTGTACTACTATTCAACAGTAATGACTATTCTTACCCTTTGGGAATAAGGTGTTCCAGGATACTCTCTAGCTTGGAACTGTGGCTGGCTATAATTTCCATTGGAAACTGAAGGAGGTCCTCTATAAGTATCAAAACCTAATAAATAAACAACTTGCATTAAATTATGAGCAAAATCATACTAAACTTTTAAATAGTCTAATCGTATATCATTCTAAAAATAATATTGATCCTAATGTCAACATTAGATGTATGCCTTATTTAAGCAAACTCAATTAATATTGCTTCCACAATAAGACACACATTTATAAAACATTGCTAACTTCAAATAAGCCAACTCTAGCAACTGACTGCTGCTGGAACGCAGGTGAGGTTGGGAATGGTGGTAGGGTAAGTAGGTAGCTAAGGCTTCTGTGTAGAGTACGTTGCTAACACCAAGCCATGACTGAAATACTTGGAACCACATTTAAAATTAAAGAGGATACCATTGTTATTGTCTCAAAGTTTATGTTTGTATCTGTGGCATGCTCTGACAGGCAACTAGAAAATGGGCATTGTCTAATTATGATACATTTCAAACAATCAAGTCAATTAACAAAAGGAAAAAATGATTCAAATATGAAAACCAAAATTCATTCCTGGAAAAAAAAAAAAGATGCTCAACCTTTCACTTAAGTAAATAACAGGATAAATCTGCTTTTCATACCAAAAAAAGTCCTCTGTTATAGAGAACAGGGATATTAGAAATACTGTATTTTGCAGAAATAAGGACTTCTTTACATTATAAATGACAACTACAAAAAGAAACAGGTAAAGTAAAAACAGTTTGAGTCAAGTTAGTATCTAGACAAAATAATTCGGCATAATTCAATTTTATTCAGAGCATACCTCTATAACCACCAGAGGACCGATACGTATTGGTGAGTAATCTCCCGCCACGAGCACATCCTCTAACAGACCCCCGGCTGCTGACAGATGCTTGAGAGGGTCTGGGGAACACACCCGTCTGTGCTGGGTAAAGGGCAAGGCTGCCATTGCTTATGTGAATAGTTCCATCAGGATAACTTGCTGCTTAGAGAAACAGTTTTAAAGTCCGAGAGTTAAACTGTAATAAAGATTCAATATTCTTTACACTTAAAAGTCACTATATATCGAGAAAGAAAAAGAAGGGGAAAAAAAAAAAAAGTCACTATATATCAAAACCTTTAACAGGATTTTCTCCCTTTGCCCTGGCCAGTTTGGCTCAGCAGTTAGAGCATCAGCCCACGGACCAGACACCTGGGTTCGGTTCCCGCTAAGGGCACGTACCTCAGTTGCAGTTTGTCCCCGGCCCTGGTTGGGGTCGTGTGAGTGGCAGCCAGTCGATGTGTCCCTTTCACGTCGATGTTTCTCTCTCTCTCTTCATCTCTCTCCCTCCCACTCTATCTGAACAAAAAGTGAAAAAATGTCCTCGGATGAGGATTAAAAAAAAAAGAGGTCGCCGGTTCAATTCCCAATCAGGGCACATGCCCAGGTTGTGGGCCCGATCCCCGATGGGGGACATGCAGGAGGCAGCCAATCGATGTTCTCTCTCTCATCGATGTTTCTATCTCTCTCTACCTTTCTCTTCCTCTCTCTCTAAAATCAATAAAGAAAAAAAAATTTTTTTTAAACAGGTGCTATATATGTATGAATATACAGAGATCTCTCGCTACACACACACACACACACACACACACACACACACGGTGGGGCAAAAGTAGGCCTACAGTTGCTCGTATGGAAAATAATATAAGAATAGACTGTTTCGTGTACTCACAACTGTAAACCTACTTTTGCTCCAGCCTGTATATTTAAATAGAACATTATTCAGCCTTAAAAAGGAAGGAAACTCTGACACATGCTACAACATGGAAGAACCCTGAAGACATTATGCTGAGTGAAATAGGCCAATCACAAAAGGACAAGTACTGAGATGGCACTTACATAAGGTAAGCACCCATAGTTAAAAAGTAGTCAGATTCACAGAGACAGAGTAGAAGGGTGGTTGCCAGGGTTTGGAGGGAGAGGGAATGGGAAGTTAGGGTTAAATGAGTCCAGAGTCTCAGTCGGAGAAGATTAAAAAAAGTTCTAGAGATGAAGGATGGTGCTGGCTACGCAACAATCTGAATGTACTTAATGCCACAGAACTGTGTGCTTCAAATGGTTAAAATGATCAATTTTATGTTAGATATATTTTACCACAATTAAAGGGAAAAAGACTAAATATTTCAGATCAAGGAGTAAAAGAAAATGAATTTTCATTACTACTGAAATTGAGAAGGTATATGAAAAGAATATCTTCTCAGTAATTCACCTGCCCTGGGTTTTCATAGTACAGGTGGTGAGAACAGAATGAGGTCATTTGTGGGATTTACACTTACTACCTCTTGTGATTAACCAAGCACACGATCATTTGCTCAGATTTAAGTTTTAGAAGACTCAGTAGTGGTCTGAAATACCAACACTAAAAATCTACAAGTGCTTCTTAAATTAAGAAATAACTACAAAGTCGCTCATTCTTTCATGATTTAGAATAGCATGGAAGATCAAAACACTCAACTCTAAGCAAACCGTGGAATAAGCATACTAAATTACATTTTCAGATTGATCAATGCTTTAATTATAAGAAGAAAGAAAAGAGAAAAGGCCAAATAGCCATCTCTCTGCACTGAAAGAGTTAACAGAATGGTTTCAAAACCTCCATACAAGCAGCTGGACAATGCTCCATCTACCTCTATGGCTGTCTATGGCAATCAAAGCAATCAGGTTTAAAAATATGAGTCTATATATTCATACAAATCAATCATCTAAGTTCCATCTCTACAAAAGTTAAAATGGTGAACTTCACTAAAGAGAGGAAACAGCATAAAGTGTCCACACCTGAACATAGAAAGAGGTAATGCTTATTGCTCAGGAAAGAACTGCTGGAGCATCACTACAGAGTTGCTTTCCATTCAACTAGCTGTCACCTAAGTCTTCAAAATACCACTCCCAAAGATCTTACCCGTCTCCTGAGAAAGAACAGTTTGTTCTATGTGTATAGCTGGCAGTTGGCACTGGAGTGGTGTTTGTGTACTTGCTGTAGTAAAACTCTGATTGTAGCCAGGTGAATAGGGCGATTCTTTTATTTCTTGTTCTTTCCGTGGAGGCAGAGGTGCATTAACATTAAATACCTTAAAAGACAAGGGTATGCTGAGCCGTGTGTAAGCTTCATAGAAAATGATTAAGGGTGACATCCAGCAAAACTCTGCAACATTCAAAAACTTCTATTTGATGGGCAAAGGACTTGAATAAACATTTCTCCAAAGAAGATAAATGGCCAATTAAGCACATGAAAAGATGCTCAACATCATTAGTTATTAGGGAAACAGAAATCAAAACAACACTGAGATACTACTTCATCATACCCATTAGGATGGCTATTATTTTTTAAAAAACAACAGCCCAGCCGGTGTGGCTCAGTGGTTGAGTGTCAACCCATGCACCAAGAAGTCACTGGTTGATTCCTGGTCAGGACACATGCCCAGGTTGTGTGCCAAATTCCCAGTACGGGGCATGCAGGAGGTGGCCAATTGATGTCTCTCTCATGTTTCTCTCTCTCTCTCTCCCCCTTTCCCTTCCTCTCCCTGTAAACTCAATGAAGAAAAAAATTAAAACAAATAACAAAAAAAGAAACAGAAAATCCAAGTGTTGACAAAGTTGTGGTCAAATTGGAATCCTCATGTATTGCTGATAGGAATGTAAAATGGTGCAACTACTGTAGAAAAGCTAAACATAGAATTATCAGGTGATCCAACAATTCCACTTCTAAACATATACCCAAAAAAATGGAAAGCAGAGATTCAAATAGATATTTGTATATCAATGTTCACAGCAGCACTGTTCATAGTAGCCAAAAAGGTGGGAACAACCCAAGTTGTCCATCAACAGATTAATGGATAAACAAAATGTGGTATATATATACAATGGAATATTTAGCCAAAAAAAAAGAATGAAATTCTGATTCATGCTACAACATGGATGAACCTTGAAAACATTATGCTATGTGAGATAAGCCAGATACAAAAGGACAAATATTGTGACTCTACTTATCTGAGGTGCCTAGAATAGGTAAATTCATAAAGATAGAAAGTAGAATAGAGGTTACCAGGGGCTTGGAAGAAGGAGGAATAAGGGGTTACTGTTTAATGGGTACACAGTTTCTGTTTGGATGATGAAAAATTTTGGAAATAGTGGTGATGGTTATACAACACTGTAGATGTTCCTAATGACAGTGAATTATATACTTAAAAATGGTTAAAACAGTAAATTTTATGTTATGCATATTTTTAACACAGCAAAAACAAAAACTTCTATTTGCTTTCTCATAGAATTTAAACTCAAGTACAAAAGTTAATCATCCTACTATGCTACCATAATAATGCTCACTGAGAATAAAAGCTATATAGGGGAAATGGGTACTCTTTCAAAAACTAAAGATGAATTTTTTTAATCTGCAATGTACTGTATTTCTATCATTGCAGGCAATGAACTGTCCAGACTCTGGCCATCATCTATAAAACAGCACTTGTATGACTCTCTAGCCTTTTTATCCTGTTCCATTTTTTCTCACAACACATAGCACCTGTGATATATACACTCCTCTCTCTAGCCCCCCACCTCCATAAAAAAACATAAAATTCTTGAGCACAAAGATCTGTCTCTTTTTCATTGTTACAACCTCAGTAACTTAAGAACAGTGTCTGGCTCCATGACTCTCTGGTTTTTGAATGAATGAAGAATGAACGAATGAACAAACGAACACCACTTTGTACTGGGTAGAATTCAAACAGGCAAAGACTGGCATGAGCAAAAAAAGGTATTGTGACAAGAATGTATAAGGCAAGCGCAGAATATAAATTCTGATGGGCTTTACCAGACTTCAGAAGTTACTGAGTGTCAGACAAAGGACTTTCAATTTCATTCTGTAATGGGCCACTGTTTGCTTTTATTTAGAAACAGGAAAAAGTTAGTAAAACCAATGTGGCAATTCTGTGCAAGATGGACTGACAGGGAAAGAGAAAAAGCAAAGAAACTAAGCTGTTCTAAGTGGCCAAACAGGAAGAGATAAGATTAGTGAATTCAGGTGTCTGAATTCACCAGCCTATCTCCCTGCATTGTGCCTGCTTTCCATTGCCACTCCACTGGCCCCACGCCACCACCGTTGCTTAAAAGTACCTGGAGTGGGCCCTGGCTGGTTTGGCTCAGCAGTTAGAGCATTGGCCCACAGACTGTGGGGTCTCAGGTTCACTTCAGGGTTAAGGGGTGTACCTGGGTTTCAAGTTTGACCCCTGGGGAGGCAACCAATTGAAGTCCCTCTCACATTGATGTTTCTCTCTCTCTCTCTCTCCCTCCCTCCCTCTCATCCATTCTATCTAAAAATCAGTGGAAAAATATCCTCAGCTGATGACTAACAACAGCAAAAAAAGTACCTGGAGTGAAAAACTAAGCACCATCAGGAAAGATATTCATTGGCTAAGACTTTTGGGTTTTTTTTCTAACACTGTTTTATATTATTCTGTGTTCACAGAACAAACATACAAACCTAGTTGTAATATTACCATAAAAAATTTTAAACTACAATTTGTAATTTATGTCATTCAAAATACCACACAGCCCTGGCCAGTTTGGCTCAGCGGTTAGAGCGTCGGCCTGCGGACCGGAGAGACCCGGGTTCGGTTCCCGCTAAGGGCACATACTTCGGTTGCAGTTTGTCCCCGGCCCTGGTTGGTCGTGCGGGTGGCAGCCACTCAATGTGTCCCTTCACATCGATGTTTCTCTCTCTCTCTCCCTTCCTCTTTCTCCCTCCCACTCTATCTGTACAAAAAATGGAAAAATATCCTCGGGTGAGGATTAAAAAAATAATAATAATAAATAAATAAATACAAAATACCACACAAATTTGAACAATTCTCTAAAAACCTGCCTGAGATGAAGTCAAATGAGAAGTTTCAACAATGACAGAACACCCAGGTGTGTGTCCTCTATGTCTAGTTATGGATGCTATAGAACATCACTAGTGTGATATTAGAAATGGTTAGTATTATTAAGATGTTCTTACAAAATTATGTTTCTCACCCACACAGTTCATTTGTTTAATAGAGGTCCTCAGCTTTGCCTGCTACTGATTTTCACACAGGGGGAACTGCTCTGATAAACCCCCATTCAAAATTCTTGAGGCTTTACTCTTCCACCACAAACAACATTTCTATGGCACAAATGTAAAATTCTACCAGCTCAAATAAGGGTAAGAAAAATGGCAAATGTATTCACACAGTACCGAATAACAGGTATAAGAGAAACAATGGCTTTTTAACAGGAATAATGAACTGCGATCATCATATACGCTTCATACTCACCGTCTGCATGGCTTGAAAGGGCGTTGTGCTAATAGTTACTGAACTACTACTTGCTGGAGGTGACTGGAAGCCCTGTTCAGGGCCCTTTGACATGGGAGGGTTTGGAGAAGCCAGTGCAGATGGTTGCTTGCTTGGGGGAACTGCTGCCTGGGGAGCAGAAATGCAGCATCAGCCAATAACCTACCATATAACAAGCAGTTAACATACACTAAAGGCCAGACTAGCATAAGTCAGCAAGTTCTACAGATGACAACTGGACACAGGAATGCAAAAGAACATATTCTGCTTACAATTTCAAATTGCATCTGCTGATGCGCCTCACACAGCTTGCTGACTGAGTGAAAGAGTCTCCCTAATTATCAGTCTAACAGATGAGGGGCTGAACTGCTGAGGAGTATCCAGTTCTTTTCAAAGCTGAAATGGTATTTTTCTTTAGGCTAAGACTCTAATATTATTCCAAATTCATACAGTAGAATTAGGCTTTAGAAAAATTGGGTTAGTTCCTTAGTCATTAATACTCCTCCTATTTTGAAATCCTATTAGTGGATTTCTAAGAAACAGAACAGAGCTTGATCTAATTTAAATAATCCTTATCTAAGGGAATAAGCAAATACTTGATTTAACAGATTATAAATCCAAAGGCCTAAAAAGATACCATAATTCAATCCCATTCAGATTATGAAGCAGACAGCTGTGACCCACTTGGTAACAAATATTTCCTCTTCTTAAAATGAGGAACCAAGTAATTTCCATTTAGACCGAGTCAGCATCACAAAAACTAGCGTGTATCTATAATTTCTTATATTCTATAAGGAATACATATTCTTGTAAACTTGGTAACCAACAAAATCCCAATGAAACCTAAGAGTTGCTATATTAATAAAAAAATAAAAAAAATAAAAAATCATCCTATCTTGCTGTACTACCTCAAGGATTTGCTCAAACTTATCAGCAAAAACTATTACTTTAAAATTGAAAGCACAAATACAGTGTTGGGGAAAAGTAGGTTTATAGTTGTGAGTATGCAAAACACAGAGTTTATTCTTTTTTTTTTTTAATCCTCACCCAAGGACATTTTTGCATTTATCTTCAGATAGAGCAGGAGGGAGAGAGGGTGGAAGAGAGAGACAGAAACATCTATGTGAGACATGGAGTGGTTGCCACCCACACAATCCCAACCAGGGCCAGGGACAAACTGCAACCGAGGTACGTGCCCTTAGCGGGAACTGAACCCGGGACTCTCTGGTCTGTGGGCCAACGCTTTAACTGCTGAGCCAAACTGGACAGGGCAGAGTTTATTCTTGTACTATTATGTATTCATCATCGTAGTATTTTCCAAATGAACTGTAAACCTACTTTCGCCAATCGTGTATAATACTGTAAAATGCTTTTGACAAAAATAGCCAGAAAGAGAATATATATCATTCCAATTAAGTAAGTGCTCACAGTAACACTATAAAGTTGAGTCTTCACAGTTATATGAATAAAAATATTTTTCTTCTAAGGATTTCTTCAATATAAATATAGTAAGAAACCTGACCTAATCCCACCTAGAACTTTTCATCTTTTTTGACATTAGCAATTTGGATACATTTATTGTATCTGATAAAGCAATATTCTATTAAGTCTACTTTATAGCAAAGTCACAATAAAGTTACCTATATAAGTTCCAGGACCACAATATCTACAGAAAGCAATATATTAGTACAGTATAAATGTTAAATCGTTCAACTGATCATGCCTGTAACTCATAAAATAAGCTGGTTCTGCTATTCTTTAAGACAGAAAAGAAATCAAGACAATTGGTCTCTTATTACCTCAGGAGTCTCTGAGGTCATAAACTCTGTTTCAGATCCTGAAGAAGTCTGATCAGTAGTAACCAAGCAAGCATTTGAGCTACAAGTAACTGGAGATGAAGCAGCCTGGATACAGGAGGATAATAAAACATTATAAAAGACATATTTCGTTCACTTTGTATTTCTTGGGCCATGGACTTCCTAATATATTACTCTTATTGAGCACCCAGTAGTGCTGAACACTATGCTAAAGACTTGACACATACTAACACCTTTCATCCTACCGTAAGCCTGTGAGGTAGGCACTACTATCCCCATTTTATTGACAATCAGGGAAAGGCAAAGAAAGGTGAAGTAATTTACCCAAGATCACACTCAATTAAGTGGCAGAGCTGAGATTCAAACTCAAGCAGTCAGCTACACTGTCTTCCCAGGCCTGGTCACCAAAGCGACACATCTAATCCCACCTTCACTTGTTAAGATTCTTGGCCCTGGGAACCTGGGGCTAGATTTTCAATCTGGCACTCAATAGCAGTTCACTGGAGAATAAGCACGGGCACATTTAACACTCTCAGCAGGTGTCATAGTAGCCATGCTTTTACTGAGTGCTCTCAGAGTCTTAAAGGGGTAGGCAGAAATATAAATAGAAAGGATAAGCTCTATCTAAATCACGATGGCATCAAAATTCTAACAAAAAAAATTAAAGCTAATAATATTTATAAAATAAAAACTGGGAAAGGCCTGGCTGGTTTGGCTCAGTGGTTGAGCATAGGCTCTGAGACCAAGGGGTCGCAGGTTTGATTCTGGTTAAGGGCACGTATCTGGGTTGCAGGTTTGATCCTGGACCCTGGTCAGGGTTATGCAGGAGGCAACCAGTTGATGTCTCTCTCTCACATCAATGTTTCTCCCTCTCTCATCCCTCTCTCCCACTCTCTCTAAATAAAAAATAAATAAATAAATAAATAAATGGAAAAATATCCTTGGGTAAGGATTAAAAAAAAAAAAAAAAAACTGGGAAAAAGAGTAGGAACTAAGGCTGTGACAACTGTAACCAATAAAAAACTAAGAGTGGCTAGGAATTCTATGGTACAACAGGCATTAGATATAATGGAGAGAGAGCCATAAAAATCTAGCAATCACAAGGTCTCAAGTGTCAGTGAATCCACTCCTTTTACCTAAACGCTCTGATGTGGTTCTCAGAAGCCCAATCAATAAGATGGGTGAACTGGAAACTAATTAATGGTAACCAATATCAAACCAGTTATGTTTCAGTGACCTTCTAGAAGGGGTCATCATGATATACTTCTTGGGAGAGAGTTGAGAGCCAAGTTTAAAAAAGGCATGAAAAAAAATGTTTCATATCCTTTATAACATTTTATATAACTAAATATATAGGTACAATTTAGATCTGACCAAAATATTGTTCATTGAAAGCCTCATGTAGAATCTTAATAGCTAGAACAGATGAAATGGAGCTCTTTAGTTATAGCAGTGACTGAGGTGAGAGACGGTGCTCAACAAACACATTTTGAAAATTGAGCCATACCTTACCAACTAAGTATAAATCACTGTAAACAATGCTGTTTCCTCAGAAGTGTTTGGAAGGGAAAACAACAACTACTAACCCACCTAGTCAAAATAGTTAACCTTCTATCAAAGCAGCTACTGTTAAGAAAATTGCCAATAAGGCTTTCAGTGGGATCCAGAGAAAATTTTTAAAGAGATAACGACCAGAAAACTAGTGAACCTTGAACTTACCATTGATGGAAATTCAATGTAGCATTTACAGGCCTCAATGATCTGGTCCCTTTATATCCCTAAGTGTGTTCTGTGAAAAACAGTTCTTCAGAAGGTTAACTATTGTGTGGGGGTGGGGTGGGGAGGGGGACTAGCTAACCATGAGTTGAAAAAAAATTAGTTTCTTTCTTTAGACCCTTTACTATGCTGATACATTAAGTTGCTTAAGTAGCTCAGTAGCAAAGTATGATTTCCAGACAAGGTACCTCTGAATTCTACAGGTCTGCACTTTCCTTACTAAGTCACCTAGCTTTCTCTATTATTATCAATGTTTTCCCTCATGGTCATTAGGAAATCTTTTGAGGACTGGTTGTACTTAATCTAAAAAAAAAAAACAAGACATGTGTATTAGAATCACTAAGTCCGATCATTCTTGCCAAAGCAAGAGTTTCTTCCCTGAACAACAAAGAAGACCAAATGAAAGGTTAATTTGGAGAAGTTACCTGTAATGACTCTTGAAGAAAATCATTTTGACTGGATAGATTTTGTTCTGTAGATGCTGTAGAAAATAAAATCAACAGTAAACCACTGAAGGAGAAGAGTTTATGCATATCAACTGGGTGGAAACTAAAGTTTATACTTTACAGAAAAAAAAAAAAAAAAAAAAAAAGCAGTAGCTGAAAAAACTAGATCTCAAGTCCTTCATGAATTTTAGTTAGGGCTCTATAGTCTGACAGGAGATACATAATATTTTAAGGTTCAAAGGACAAAGGCAGCAGCATATCAAGGCCTCCAAAAGAACAAAAATATGGCTTTTAAAAATAACAGGTAATAGTAATCTGAAGATAAAGTCTGAGCTATCATGAATAGCAATTCATTGATACATGTTTCAAGTTTCAGAGTAAATCTTAGATAGGTCATCTGTCTCTTGAGGTTTTTTTTTACTCTTTGATCATGTATATTAATGTACTTTTCAGTTACATAATTTCAGTTTGATTTCTTCTTGTTAATGTCCATCAATTTTGCTAATTACTCTAGTTATTCCTTACTTCACCCAGGAATTGCTGTATAATCTAGTTGGTGTATACATCTTACTACAGCTGGACTATGTGTTTGATTACATCACCCTTCCCCTGAGATAAACTAGTGTAGAGCAAAAGGGGTCAAGTTTGAAGCATCAGACCAGATTAAAATGTAGTCTCCATCATTCCTTTTTCCTCAGTATACTAAATATCACTGAGGTGATTTCACTCAGTCAGGATCCAAAAGCCTCAACACTACATGAATAAAGTCGAAAGGAGTCAAGTAAGTTCTAGTCAGAATTCATTCCAAGGACATAAAATACTGCAAAAATAGCTATTGTGCATTTCCATTGACCCATATGGAGACTTTCTCCAAAATGCAAACAGGTCAGTTAAGGACACTATTATCCTAATAATAGTAATTTACCCATATATAACCGATAACATATGGATACACTTGGGATAAATTAACACATAGACACAGTTTAGCCCTTAAGATATCTAGAGTAAAATTATTCGTAAAAGAAATAATTACTAGCCCTGGTCGGTTTGGTTCAGCGGTTAGAGCGTCGGCCTGCGGTCCTGAGAGACCCGGGTTCGGTTCCCGCTAAGGGCACGTACTTCGGTTGCAGTTTGTCCCCGGCCCTGGTCGGTTGTGCGGGTGGCAGCCACTCGGTGTGTTCCTTTCACATCGATGTTTCTCTCTCTCTCTGTTCCACTCTCTCCCTCCCACTCTACCTGAACAAAAAATGGAAAAATGTCCTCGGGTGAGGATAAAAAAAAAAAAAAAAAAAAAAGAAATAATTACTAGACCTACTACTGTTTGTTTCAAGTCCTCAGAAGGATTACGTACCTACTGGGCTGCCTGCAGTAGCCGAAGGCGGCTGTGACGATGGAATTGCACTTGAAGGTGTGTCAAAATCCAGAATAGATTCCTAAAGCCAAGTGTTTAAATAATGAATAGAAACAAAGGTTATTCATTTAGGAGCTATTATCATTAAATTATTCATGATGCTGTCCATAGCTTATTAGCTATAGGAATCTAGCTAATAACTATTTCAAAAGCTTAATAACTTAAGTCTTTACAGAAGCAGAAATTAAGAGTTAAAATGAAAAACTAAAGTAATTGGCAAAATTTTAAGATTGTGTCAAGTTTCAAAACTACAATAGTAATTCTAAGGCCTACCTTAGAAAACTCCTGACTTGAGGTCTTAAACAAAGGTATTAATCCTAGTATAGACTGAACCCTCATTCTTATTATACCCAAACAATGAGAGGGTCTAATTATTTTAATCACTAAATTAGCTTTTGCTATTAAATACTTTCATGATGAGAAGATAGTCTCTTCTGCCATCTGCCTATCTGGGCTCTCCCAGAAATGTTTCCAACATTTTGAGTACTTAAGCTACACACCTGTGGTGATCATTTTAGTTCTTTTATTTATCTTCAGGTAATATGAAGGGATAAGCAATTCCCCCATTTTACAAATAAGTAGAGGGTTGGAAGCTAAATAATTTGCAATATATTCTGCAGCTGGTTAACTGGCAGAAGCAGGATTTAAACACAGACCTAATTCCAAAGCTCAAGATCTTTTTGCTACACAAGAATATCTTATTTGTCTACTTCACCCCTCAGTAATATCACACTATTCTGAAATTCTGTAAGAGTCTGTATGACACGATTTAACATTTAACTCTTGACTTAACACAAGTTCACAATCTTATACAATTGCAATATAAGCTCCTTTAAGGCAATGAATGTCTTATCATTTTCTCTACATAAGGGCACCTATGAGAATACCAAGCATAGAGTAGGTTCTTACAATCTCATTGGAAACTACTCATAATCTGTAGCAGTAATAGTATTTGAGCACTTTAAGCTTTTTACATGTTTAATTCATTTTATTACAACAAACAGGAATACAACTATTATCCTTATTTTTAGAAGAAACTGAGGCAGCGTTAAGTAACTTGCCTAAATTCTCAGAGCTAGGAAGTGGCAGAGTGAGGATTCGTACTCATTCAAAACACTAGAATCTATGCTCTTAACTCCATTATAATGCTTCAGATCAGAAGCAAGTGGCCCCAAGAACATAATTTAAGGTTTGTTCAATAATGACTCATACTTGCATAAAGTTACAGGTTCCTTGAATCTGGGTCATCAGATCCTGCAGTTTTTCTTTCCTCAATACTGGATCCTTTGGAAGTGTAGAGGAAGAACCTACAGGCTTATGCATAGGTTTAGGCACCTACGAGACAAACCCATATGTATGAAGAGTCAAATTCAAAATCAACAACCTCATTCAGGAACCTTAACCTAACATTGCATCTAAAGGAAACCAAAACACACAGCAATGCACAATTATCAGATTTATCTCAGGTAAAGAATTTCCAATTAAATGCATTTTCTAAACAATGTCATCAAATTTTAAACACTTTTTCCCCTTCAGAACGACTTTAATGGAAATCTTTCTAAAACATCCTTTGTTGTCGGTGAGGTGTTAATCCTCACCAGAGGATATTTTCCTATTGATTTTTAGATAGAGTGGAAGGGAGCTAGGGAGGAGGGAGAGAGCGAACATTGGCATGAGAAAGACACATCGGTTGGTTGCCTCCTGCATGACTCCAACCAGACTGCGGATTGAACCTGCAACCCAGGTACATGTCCTTGACTGGGAATTGAACCCCCAACCCTTCGATCCTCAGACCAAGGAACTGCTGAGCCAAACTGGCCAGGGCTAAAATATTCTCTTTTTTAAGAGAAGATCCAAAAATAACAGTATGTCCTTAATAGGAAGTTCTTTCATGTGGACATCAGTTACTGTAATGTCTTCTAGGATAAGATGCCACTGACTATAAGACACATCAATGATTTTTTTTTCTGCGAAAAAAATTACTACTACCACATTAAACATACATCCCATTTTTAAGATGTATCTTATTTCAGAAAGATTAAGATGTAAAAATGCATACATATAGCCCTGGCCGGTTTGGCTCAGCGGTTAGAGCGTCGGCCTGCGGTCCAGAGAGACCTGGGTTCAGTTCCCGCTAAGGGCATGTACCTCAGTTGCGGTTTGTCCCCAGCCCTGGTTGGGTTGTGTGGGTGGCGACCACTCGATGTGTTCCTTTCACGTCGATGTTTCTCTCTCTCTCTCTCCCTCCTACTCTATCTGAACAAAATATCAAAAAAAAAAATGTCCTGTGTGAGGATAAAAAAAAAAAATGCATACATATATACCCTAGAATTGAGGAAATACACTATTAAACTTTAATCTAAGGTAAGTATACTTTGAGGGGTTACTGGTGTTTACAAGGTGGTCAGCCCTCATGCTCAATTGCTCAGATTGCTGCACACCCTGAATCAGACCCAATGTCTGTAGTTACTTCTTACAGCTGTCAGCCTGCCTCTCCCTACCAGCACCTCTTCTCCAACTTTTAATTTATTTGGAAGTCACACGGTTAAATTGATCAAGTATCACATAATATAAGAGTTCATAGACCCTAAGAGAATAGATGAAAAGCTCTTTAAGGAGAAAAGTATGAGTGTCAGTACTTAATGTCATGGTACCTAGTCTTCTGTCTTTGAACCCCATCTTGCCCTTGACCACACTACTCATGTTCTAGATGGCGGAGACTGCACAGCAGACAGAGACAAATCCTGTGTTACACACACAAGTGTCCTCTCAGCCACTGAAAGACCTTGCAGCTTCAATGTGATGCTGTCTGTGCCATAAACGCAAATTAAATGAGTTCTGACCTTTCCAGCTAAACACCTCTGACTTTAAATTATTCAGCAAATGGCATGGTACCAATATTCTGCTATGGTAAAGACTCAGCATTGCTATACCCACTGGAATTTTAAGTTGGGTTTTTGGGTTTTTTTTGTTTTTTTTTATAGCTTTATTGAGGTATAAAACTGGGTTTTTTAATATAACTTTCTCCAAATGGTTGACATATTACAATTACTGTGTGTGATATCTGGTTAATGGAATAACACTATCAATCTTCTACAGGGTCAGGAAGAAGCTAAAATTAATATTAGCACTTGAAGAAAGAGCAAAAGGAGACAAGCTAACTCTACAATTCTCTTCCCAGGTAAAACAAAGGTAATTTGTTTATAAAATGTAATTTATTTATAAAATGTAATACTTTCATTTCCCCAAGCAAAATGCTTTTCACACTGTTAGAGGACCAAAGATTTATTAGAAGACATTTGGCTAAAATGTCACGGAAGCTCATGGAACACCAGAGATGAAGAACATTGGGAGGGTAAAAAGTTCACATTTCTTAGCCAACAGGGTGGTACCAAATTAGTACTTAAATAGTGGTACGTAAATTATAATTTAATAAAAAGGTAACACTAACTAGCATTCTATCCAAGGAATATTCTTTATAAGCCTTCTTCCTGAAATAAGCTAGCTATCATTAACAGAATGAGGCCTTATACCTGAACTAAATCTCACACTCCAAAACTTATTCGTCGCCTATAGTTTCCATCTCCTGAACATCATTATGAAACAGAAATGGAAAACTAATTCAGATTGTTCCCAAACTACTGGAATACCTGCAACCATGAACCTTCTTCAAAGAACAAAGTAACCTGAATGACTACAAGCGAGTGAAAGAGAAGCGAGAGAATACAGAAAAATTAACTTCTGTCAGAAAAAAGTCACCCGTGTGCCAGGCAGAAGATAAGTGGAACACAGTAGAACAAGCCTTCCACCCTGTGACACGCACTGACATTTCTCACATGTTCACTTGATGGGCTTGTCTCAACTATCCACTACTTTGATGTCATATCATATCATTATATTTTTGGCACTAAAACAATATTTTCTCATTGTGGAAATTTCATCTCAGGTTAGGTTCAACAGACAGAGTAGGTCTACTTCCAATTTACAAGGGAAAACAATAAATCACACATTAAAGAGTTAAGTGAAATACTGTATACATTAATTTAACATGGCTTTTGTTTTCTTTTTCTTAAAGAAAACTAAAAAGTTCTCATTACCACCACTTCTTATTTATGTCTACATTGCCAGAAGCACACTGATACAGATCAACTCACATCTTTGGGTTCTGCATTAAACTTCCCGGGCAGAAGCTGGTCATTTGGTATGAGGCTTCCTGCAGCTACCTCCCAGGACTTTGGAGAACCCCGTGATTGTGGCGTTAAAGAACGTTTTTGATTCTCAACGTCGTTTTCCCAGGATTTAGGAGTCTCTGGCTGTCCTGAATCCTGTTCTTCACACGCAGGAGCAGTCCATGGCTTGTTGATGTGCTGTTCACTCTGCAGAGAAGGTGCCCAAGACTTTGCAGTTTGCTCCTTTGGATCCTGTTCCTTCTTCTGCAGCTGAGCTGGCCAAGGCTGTGATGTCTCCTGCTTCTTCCGTTCCTCTTGAATGTATCTGGCTTTGGATTTAGGAGTTTCTTGCTTCCATTGGCCAGGAGTTAGCTTGGCTTTGGAGACATCCTGCTTCTTGGGTTCTTCCTGCAGAGTGGACCTGACCTTTGCAATCTCTTGTTTCCTCTGTTCTGAGGAAACTGCAGGCTTTGCCAGCTCATGTTGCTTAAGAGAAGACTCCCAGGACTTGAAAGATTCCTGTTTCTTCTCCTCACCATCTGGTTCAGTAAGTAGATCCCAATATTTGGGGAGATTTGGTTTTCTAGCATAATCTGCTTCCCAAGATGGCTCTTCATTCTGTTTGCTTGAATAATCTACTTCTGTTATGTAGCGTCTATTAAGAAACTAGACCAGAGAAAAAAAATGTGATGAGTCACAGAATTTATAGAAGACCTTGCCAGGAACAGAGAACCCTCTCAGTATTCCTATGTCCATTGGTCTGAACCACTGTGCTAACAGGAAACATCTGTCCTTATTCTCCTTACAGAGACTGTCCTACTTTTTTGTCCATTCCTTTTCCCTCAATTAACAAATACAGACTTTGATATTTGAAAAGTAGTAATCTATGGCTGATTGGCAAAGTCAGAATAACCTTAATAAAAGAGCCTGAATCAAGTCAATGTGGCACCACAATGGGCAGTTCTCGGCAGTCTTAGGTGGGTCAAGTTAGATTGCTACTTTTGAGGTACCCAAGTCTGTATTTCTGACTACCCACCTGACATCCTTATACATAAGGCAGAGGATAGTCCAACTACACAAAGTTACACTGTTTAACCTTAAACTTTATGTTTCCTGAATTGCCAGACTTTTCTTTATTCCCATTATATATTAATCAATACTGTGATTTTGGCTCTTCCATTCTTTTCAGCTTCTATGAATTTCAATGTCATTTCAGAAAGAACAAATACCCTCTTCTGTTACTAATCTGAATAGATTTTGGAGAGAGCAAAATTCTACCTATTTTTTAATTCTAACACAAGGGCCAAAACAACAATAAGAGCAGCTAACACAAGCAGTTATTGTGTGCCAGGCCAAAAGTACAGTCGGCCCTCATTTATCGCCGTTAATCAGTCCCAGACTCCACCGCAATAAATGAATTTCTGCGAAGTGGGATTCTTTATTTATACAGTCGTCCCTCGCCACTTCACACTTCGACTTATAAGAGACAGAAGTTAAACTGACTCCTTTAATCCTCACGATAACCACATGAGGCAGGTGTTACTATTACCCCCACCTTGTGCATGAGGAAAACAGACACAAATATCTTTCCCAAAGTAACTAAGCTAGTAAACTGCAGAGCCAGGATCTAAGCTCAAGCAGTCCAGCTCTAGGGCATAAACTCCAAATCACAACACAACTCAAAAGCTCGAAAACCAAAATCAGCAAATTACCTTTCAGTACCTTACCTCTTGTGGGTGTATCTCAAGCTGGGTAAATTCTGTACGAGATTCTGGGACAATAAAAAAAAAAAAAACACACTGAATAAATCCTAGGTAGACTGTAACTTTTCAGACTGATTACAACGAATTCGTTCTAGCAACATATTTCAGAGGAATTATAGGAAAAGGATAGTAAAATTAAGTACTGTATATTCCTAGCAGGTGTATTCTCACTATTGCTTTTGGTCAAAAGCCAACAGCTCTCCTCATGTGAGATCCTTTTCTAAAGCCAAGTTACAGTTAAAAAGTGATTTCTGATCGAAAATAAGATTACCTCCTCTTACCCACAAACACAGATTCTTTGAAGTTGGAATTACAGTTCCAGTCCCATAGGGTAAAATTAGTCATCTCAGCTTGAAATATAGCCCTGAAAGGCCTCTTCCAAGCCAGGTTAGGCTGGGAGGAGGGCAGGGCAATGAAGATAATGGAGCACTGGATTTAACATTAAGGACTAAGAGGAAGGGCTTCCAGAACCCTGCTTGGACCATCTCCTTAGAAGTGATGTTTCTTAAATAAGTCCAGCTTCAACAAACAAAAGCAAAAAGTGCCATTTACTCAAAGTATTTCTTCCCCAAGAAAAGTGGAATTTTGTAGAGTATATTTTCTTTACTAGAAACATTATATTTATTTTGGCAATTTTTTCCTGAATCAATATGTTAACCTTAGGTTATTTACAGTCTTGTTCTACTACACTACTGGATTCTACTGTAAGTTATATTTTAAACAATTTCGAATCAAATTATTCTACTAATAGTTTAACAAAGAGATTCAAACTCCCTAAGTGTCTCATTTTAACAATGTACTGTCCTCTCTTGTAACAACGTGTATGTTTCTACTAAGGACCACACTTCACAGAAGGTAAATCATGGTAATAAAAAGCCTAGAGATGTTCTGTAAACCAAAGCTTATTCAACAGTAAGTAAAGATTTCCCTGCATGTAGACACTAACAAATTAAAATAAGGCAATTATTTCACAATTTGACTCACTTTCTGTGTTAAAAATGCAACCACTATCAAGAATTTCAGAGAGCATAACAAACCTGAGTCTTTGACAGGTTCAGTCTTTAATGACTGTCTTTTCTTCTCTGATTTTACTAGCATTTCTTCCTCCAGTGATACTTCTTTTTCCTGAGCATTTCTTGGAACTGGGATACTTTCAAAATAGCCTGAGTTCAGCAATTTAGACAGTAGATCTTTCATATGTTTGACTAAGAAAGAGTGATAAGACTCAGTTAACATATAACCAAAAAGGTCATGGAAAATTATTTGGAATAGAAATCATAATATAATTTTATCCTAATGATAGTATCATTATAACATTCTTTTTAAAAAAAAATAACATTCTGCATTAGAGGGGATTCAAATAACTGGTCAGTATCATGAAAAGTAAATATGTAGTCCATCTTAAGGTTAGGCTGAACTAATATAAATTTTAAAGATCAGAATCACTTAAGTTTATCTGGGTCTCCATTTCCACTACTTGAAAAAGGACTAAAAATCAGAGATCCTTATCAAAGATTCAAATATGTTACAAAAACATTCATTATTCCCCGAGCTCAAGGAAAAGTCATTTCTCCCATCTGCTCCCAAGACATCATAACTAGCAATTACTCTAACTTTTACAATTAAGGCTTCAGAGAAGTAAACGCTCCTCAAACACAACCGTTAGAAAACCCTATCTTGGACAATCTCTAAAGGATTTTTAAACTACAAAACTCCATGATTAAGACTTAACTCTTGAGTTACGCTTTATGTCACTCCTAGTACATTACCCTTTGATGATCAAGAAAAATCTTAAAATCATGTTAAAGTCACTGCACCATAAATAGGTCTAAAGTCTATTTCATTTTTAATAGCCACTAAAAATGTAAGTCCCAAACTAAGCAGAGTTCCCATACTTGATTTGGGTCTATTATTCCTTTCATAGGAGTACTATCACATAGATTTTTGTCTTTTTTTAAATGAAAATCAACAATGAGATATAATTTACAAACAACAAAATTCACCCTTTTTTTTTAATCCTCACCTGAGGATATTTTTCCATTTATCTTCAGATAGAGTGGGGCAGACAGGAGAGGGAGAGAGAACGCATGAAACATCGACTGGTTGCCTCCCGCACGACCCGATCAGGGCTGGGGACAAACCAAAACCGAGGTACATGCCCCAACCGGAAACCATCGACTCTTTGGTCCGTGGGCCGATGCTCTAACTGCTGAGCCAAACCAGCCAAGGCCAAAATTCACCCATTTTAAGTGTAATGTATAATCATGTTACTTCCACCAGAACAATGATACAGAATATTTTCATCATTTCAAAAAGTTCCTTCATGTCCCTTCTGTAATCAATCTCCTCCCCAAACTCCCTGGCAACCACAGACCTGCTATCATTCTAGTTATGTTTTTCTAGAATTTCATATAAATAGAATCATACAATATGTACTCATTTTTTGTCTGGCTTCTTTCACTCAGCATCATTATTTTGAGATTCACTCATGTTACTGCATGTACAAATACTTCATTCCTTTTTTTATTGCTGACTAGATTTTACTGTACAGATATATCACATTTTGTTTATCAGTTATCAATTGATGTACATCTGGGTGTGTTCAGTTTAGAGCTATTATTAATAAAGCTGGTATGAACATTCATGTACAAATACTGATACAAACATATGTTTTTAGTTCTCTTGGGTACTAGAAATATTACTGCTTGGTTATATAAATATGTATACACTTAATTTTATTAAAAATCTGCCAAACTTGACCAATTGATGTTTTCTCTCATTGATGTTTCTATCTTCTCCCTCTCCCTTCCTCTCTAAAAAAAAAAAAAAATCAATCAAGAAAAAAATTTGTTTTCATTTGTCAAACTACTTTCCAAAGTATTTGTATCGTTTTGCATTCTAACCAAGAAATAAATGTCTGTGGTTGAAACTTGAAAGGACTTAAAAATGTTAAGAGAGCTATACATACTTAGAGGACTTTTAAAAAGGAAGCAGTCACTATTAGCAAAATGTCTACTAGCTTCGAATGAGTTTTCATTATCCTGAGCTAGTATACAAAACTATGTACTTCATGTCTGACCATTTGTACTTGGGCATTGAGCCAAAATCTATTTAGGAAGCCAAAGGAACTCTTTCTCTTCAGCTCATTTCCAGATCAATAGACAACAATGCTTCAATAGACTATGTAGCCAAACCATTGGTATTTTCTTAGGCAGATCTGGTAGATAAGCCGATATTAACAATGTGTGGTTTTAAGATTCTTAAATAGAACAAGTACAACTATGCATAACAGAGAATTGAACCCCCAAATGGTCAAGCTAGTGTTAGTACTAAAACTTAGCTCTTGCTCCCAAATCATAGTTACTTTCCACTTCAAAACTCTCCCTAGCTTCTGTTTTAATGAGTACAGTAATACAATGGCTGCTTTTAACAGAATTAAACAAAGAGATCAAACATGTTCAGTTCCGATGGAATGACAGTTTCTGCCCTCAATACCATTCTAAACTTCTGGACATACAGTTTAGTATTCACTGCATAAATCCAGCAGAGAAAACTCACATGTTGTTCCAACCACTGCTTTCTCACTACCTTCCAAAAGGTCCCAAAAGTACAAGGATGACTGCTCCATCTGGTCTTCAACACTGATAAGGAAAAACAGCAGCAGAACACAGTGACTTTATATACATTTATACATATCAATATATTGTGAAGCAGTACAATTTACACAATTAACCCATAAACAGTCAAGACATTCTATGTGAATTTTGTATTTACATGCTTTGAAAATAGAAAATTGAAACTTTATATAAGATGACTAACTGACCATTTATGAATTTCAACTGTAAGCATTTTTCCTCAAAACAACCAAAATAAAGATTTTTACCAAATACAGCTATTAAGAAATAAACCAATGTCACTCATAGCACTCATTATCAAGCCTATGTCCTAAATGAAAGAACTGTGGAATGAAAATATTAACAGTTTCATTTAACTTTAAAGAGAACAGCTTATTTTTCAAATTATGTTCACTTACATTTCACATATTAAAGTAAGCTACAATTCCTGAATCCAACAAAGTGAAGTAGGAGAAGACACCAAATAGGTAATGATGATGGAATAGACTATCAGAATGGGAATAAAAACATATATATGTGGCTGTCTATAGGTAATTAAGAGTTTTATTAGGTTTCTTCCTGATGCAAGGCTGATTTCTAGTAACAGTTGAAATCTAACTCTGCTTTCGCATAGCTAACAGACACAACATTGAAATAACCTATATCTAACAAAGCAAAAGCATAGAGAGCTGTTCATTAGCTAATTTAGTCCACCAAAGCAAGAATAGAAAATGGCCCTGGCCGGTTTGGCTCAGCGGTTAGAGCGTTGGCCTGCGGTCTGGAGAGACCCGGGTTCGGTTCCCGCTAAGGGCACGTGCCTCGGTTGCAGTTTGTCCCCGGCCCTGGTTGGGTCGTGTGGGTGGCGACCACTCGATGTGTCCCTTTCACATCGATGTTTCTCTCTCTTTTTCTCTCTCCCTCCCACTCTATCTGAACAAAATATCAAAAAATGTCCTCGGGCCCTGGCCAGTTTGGCTCAGCGGTTAGAGCGTCGGCCTGCGGTCCGGAGAGACCCGGGTTCGGTTCCCGCTAAGGGCACATACCTCAGATGCAGTTTGTCCCCGGCCCTGGTTGGTCGTGCGGGTGGCAGCCACTTGATGTGTCTCTTTCACGTCAATGTTTCTGTCTCTCTCTCCCTTCCTCTCTCTCCCTCCCACTCTATCTGTACAAAAAATGGAAAAATATCCTCGGGTGAGGATAAAAAAAAAAAAAAAATGTCCTCAGGTGAGGATAAAAAAATAATAATAATTTTTTAAAAAATGAATAGAAAATGGATAACAGTGGGGGGAGAGAGGGTTGAGTAGCCTCAATTTGCTAGGTTTTGTATTTTAAATTATCAGGTTTGTTTCTCAGTATTTATTCATAGCACAAGAATACCAAATAATTCTCACTTTAAATATGTTTTTTTAAATATGTTTTTACTGATTATTTTTTAGTTTTTAGAGAGAGAAAGGGAGAAGGAGATAGAAATTTGTGCAAGAAAATCATAGATCGGCTGCCTCCTGCACGCCCCCTCCTGGGGATCAAGCCTGCAACCTGGGCATGTGCCCTGACCAGGAATCAAACCGGGACCTCTCGGTTCATGGGATGACACTCAATCCACTGGGCCACACTGGCCAGGCTCACTTTAAAATTTTAATGATAAATTAAATTTACCAAATTAAATTTTATTTACCTCCACTTAAAGTACAGCAATAAAAAGGCTAAGACTCTCAGGTAATACCAACAGCATGAGATAATTACCAAAATAAATTTTAAGAACATACATAATTAATATTATGGTTAATACTTGCATAAGGTTAAAACTTGATGATCAGATATTATTTATTTATTTATTTTTTTATTTCACGTTTCAAAGATCAAATTTATTTCTAATTTTTATTACTGCATATCTGGTCACATATATTATTGCAAAGTAAAATTATAACATTATTTCACATTTTCTTCTGTCTTCTCTTAAAGTGCACTGATGTTTAATATTGGGACTTCCGAGGATAAAAATCTGGTTATCTGGAATAATAAAATGTGCGATAATAAAATTGGGCAACTGAAATTCTATTTAAGTTTTGAAATTAAAGTTTTACTGCCATTTGTAACACACACACAACCAAAAGAGAAAGCACATTACTCTGAAAGCAACACAATCATTAGCTCTAAAAATATTCACTTGAAGAAGAAAGTCACATAAATGTTGACTGCTGTTCTACCTTTGTTCTAAGTGTTCCAAATTTTTCATAAATATAATCCTATGATTATGAAATCATTCTTATGCAAATTTATATGTTAAGTCAATTAGCAGTCAAGTTTATAAAAGAAGACTGGTTTTTTGGGGTTTTTTTAATGCTTTTATTGATTTTTAGACAGAGAGGAAGGGAGCGAGAGAGATAGAAACATCGATGATAGACATCGATTGGCTGCCTCCTGCACGCCCCCTACTGGGGATTGAGCCCCAAACCTGGGCATGTGCCCTAACTGGGAATTGAAGCGGGACCTCTCAGTTCATGGGACAATGCTCAATCCACTGAGCCACACTGGCCTGGCAAGACTGTGGGTTTTTAAAGTGTGTATATAATGTTATAATTGATGTTGTATTTATTCCTATCACCTATTCATTATGTCAGTTTTATTTTTAAAGCACTCATAGAAAAGTACTGACAGAACAGACTTTGCTAGTTGTGTGACCAAACAGGGTCTGCCTGTGTGCATTGCTGAGAAGCATGTATTACCTTCCTACCTAGCATTCACTCAGTCTTTCTGTACAAATATATTAAAGTACTTTGTTGATAATTAGAATTTAAAAGTGTTAATGGCAAAATGAAGCCAAATGCCGACTCCAAGTAGCAAGAATATAGGACACATTTAAATTTTTTGATTTTTAAAGGTTAATTTTTTTTTTGTTTGTTTGTTTTTTTTTATCCTCACCGGAGGACATTTTTCCATTTTTTGTTCAGGTAGAGTGGGAGGGAGAGAGAGGAACAGAGAGAGAGAGAGAGAAACATCGATGCGAAAGGGACACATCGAGTGGCTGCCACCCGCACAACCGACCAGGGCCGGGGACAAACTGCAACCGAGGTACATGCCCTTAGCGGGAACCAAACCCGGGTCTCTCAGGACCGCAGGCGGATGCTCTAACCGCTGAGCCAAACCGGCCAGGGCAAAGGTTAATTTTTTTTTAATTAATTTATTTATTTATTTATTTTTGTTACAGATGTTTCTCCTTTTTTACCCCATTGACACCCTCCTCCCCATCCCCCCTCCGCCCCGCCCCCGGCTTTGTTGTCCATGTCCATTGATTATGCATACATGCATGTAAGTTCTGTGGTTTATCTCTTCCCTCCCCCACTACCCCATCCCCGGCTTTGTTGTCCATGTCCATTGGTTATGCATACATGCATATAAGTTCTGTGGTTTATCTCTTCCTAACCCCCCACCCTCTCTTCTGAGGGATGTCAGTCTGTGCCCTACTTCCATGTTTCTGGGTCTACCATATTCCTCAGACTGTTATGTTCATTATATTCCGTATATAAGTGAGATCATGTGGTATTTGTCTTTCTCTGCTGGGCTTGTTTCACTTAGGATAATACTTTCCAGGTTCCTCCATGTCGTCTCAAAGGGTAAGAGATCTTTCTTTCTTACAGCTGCATAGTACTCCATTGTGTATATGTACAACTGCTTTTTTATCCATTCGTCTACTGATAGACACTTGGGCTGTTTCCAGATCTTAGCCATTGTAAATAGTGCTGCTATGAACATGGGGGTACATATATTCTTCCTGATTGGTGTTTCAGGCTTCTTAGGTTATATTCCTAGAAGCAGGATCACTGGGTCAAATGGCAATTAAATTTTGAATTTTTTGAGGTAACACCATAATGTTTTCCATAGTGGCTGCACCAGTCTGCATTCCCACCAGCAGTGTACTAGAGTCCCCTTTTGTCCACACCCTCGCCAACACTAGTTTGATGATTTGTTGATGGCAGCCATTCTGACAGGTGTGAGGTAATACCTCATTGTTGTTTTAATTTGCATCTCTCTGATGATTAGTGATGTTGAGCATTTCTTCATATGTCTCTTGGCCATTTGTATGTCCTGTTTGGAGAGCTGTCTATTCAGCTCCTCTGGCCATTTTTTAATTGGGTTCTTTGTCTTCCTTTTGTTGAGTTGTATGAGCACTCTATATATATTGAAAATTAACCCCTTATCTGATATATCATTGGCAATGATGTTCTCCCATACAGTGGGTTGCCTTTCCATTTTAATGATTGTTTCTTTTCCAGTGCAGAAGCTTTTTAGTTTGATGTAGTCCCATGTGTTCATTTTTTCCTTTGTTTCTGTTGCCTTAGGTGATGTATCAGTGAAAATTCTGCTACGTATGATGTCTGAAATTTGGTTGCCTACATTTTCTTCTAGAATTTTTATGGATTCACGGGTCACATTTAAGTCTTTTATCCATTTTGAGTTTATTTTTGTGTATGGTGTAAGTTGACGGTCTAATTTCATTTTTTTGCAGGTAGCTGTCCAATTTTCCCAACACCATTTATTAAAGAGGCTGTCTTTACTCCACTGTATGCTCTTGCCACCTTAGTCAAATATTAATTGAGCATATTGCCTTGGGTCCATTTCTGGGTTCTCTGTTCTGTTTCACTGGTCTATATACCTGTTCTTGTGCCAGTACCAGGCTGTTTTGATTACAGTCACATTGTAGTATAACCTGATATCTGGTATTGTGATACCACTACTTTGTCCTTCTTTTACAAAATTGCTGTGGCTATTCGGGGACTTTTTTGGTTCCATATGAACTTTTAAGTATTTGTTCTAGTTCTGTGAAATATGTCATTGGTATTTTGATGGGGATTGCACTGAATCTATAGATGGCTTTGGGTAGTATGGACATTTTAATGATGTTAATTCTTCCAATCCATGAACAAGGTATGTGCTTCCACTTTTTTATATCTTCCTCTATTTCTTTTTTCAATGACCTCTAGTTTTCTGCAAATAGGTCCTTTACTTCTTTGGTTAAGTTTATTTCTAGGCATCTTAATTTTTTTGCCACGATGGTAAATGGGATTGTTTTTGGTTTTTTTTCAGTTTCTCTTTCTGTGAGTTCATCATTGGTGTATAAGAATGCCATCGAGCCCTGGCCAGTTTAGCTCAGCGGTTAGAGCATCGGCCTGCGGTCTGGAAAGACCCGGGTTGGGTTCCTGCTAAGGGCATGTACCTTGGATGCAGTTTGTCACTGGCCCTGGTTGGGTCATGTGGGTGGCAACCACTCAATGTGTCCCTTTCACCTCGATGTTTCTCTCTCTGTCTCTTCCTCTCTCTCCCTCCCACTCTACTTGAACAAAAAATGAAAAAAAAAAAAAGAATGCCATCGATTCCTTGACATTAATTTTGTATCCTGCTACTTTGCCAAATTCATTTATTAAGTCTAGTAGATTTTTGATGGAGTCGTTAGGGTTTTCTATGTATAATATTATGTCATCTGCAAATAATGACAGTTTCACTTCCTCCTTTCCAATTTGGATCCCTTTTATTTTTTCCTCATGTCTGATTGCTGTGGCTAAGACTTCCAGTACTATGTTAAATAAGAGTGGCGAAAGTGGACATCCCTGTCTTGTTCCTGTTCTTTTTTTTTTTTTTTTATCCTCATTCGAGGACACTTTTCCATTTTTTGCACAGAGTGGGAGGGAGAGAGAGGAAGAGAGAGAGAGGGAAACATCGATGTGAAAGGGACACATTGAGTGGCTGCCACCCGCACGACCAACCAGGGCCAGGGACAAACCGCAACCAAGGTACATGCCCTTAGCGGGAACCGAACCCGGGTCTCTCCGGACCACAGGCGGACGCTCTAACCGCTGAGCCAAACCGGCCAGGGCTTGTTCCTGTTCTTAATGGAAATGTTTTTAGTTTCTGCCCATTGAGTATGATGTTGGCTGTAGGTCTTTCATATATGGCCTTTATTATGTCGAGATATGATCCTCTATTCCCACATTGCTGAGCATTTTTATCAGAAATGGATGCTGGATTTTGTCAAATGCTTTTTCAGCATCTATTGATATGATCACATGGTTTTTATTCTTCATTTTGTTTATGTGGTGTATCACATTTACTGATTTGCGAATATTGTACCAGCCTTGCATCCCTGGAATGAATCCCACTTGGTCACAGTGAATAATTTTTTTGATGTATTGCTGGATCCGATTTGCTCATATTTTGTTCAGGATTTTGGTGTCTATGTTCATCAGGGATATTGGCCTGTCTGTAGTTTTCTTTCTTTGTAGTGTCTTTTTCTGGTTGTGGAATTAGAATTATGCTGGTCTCATAAAACGAGTTTGGAAGTCTTCCTTCTTCTTGAATTTTTTGAAATAGTTTGAGGAGAATGGGTGTTAGTTTATTTTTGAATGTTCGGTAAAACTCCCCCGTGAAGCCATCTGGGCCTGGGCTTGTGTTTGCTGGGAGAGTCTTGATTAGCTCTTCAATTTCCTTAGTTGTTATTGGTCTGTTCAAGTTTTCTATCTCTTCTGGTCCAGTTTTGGGAGACTGTGTTTCTAGAAATTTGTCTGTTTCGCTTAGATTGTCGAATTTGTTGCCATATAGTTGTTCATAGTAGCTGTTAACGATCTTTTGTATTTCTGTGGTGTCAGTTGTTACTTTTCCTCTTTCATTTCTGATTTTGTGTATTTGGGTTCTCTCTGTTTCTTGGTGAGTCTAGCTAAGGGTCCATCAATCTTGTTTATCTTTTCAAAAGACCAGTTCTTTGTTTCATCAATCCTTTGAATTGTTTTTTTGGTCTCTATGTCATTTATTTCTGCTCTGATCTTTACTATTTCCTTCCTTCTACTTGCTCTGGGGTTTTCTTTTTGTTTGCTTTCTAATTCTTTAACTTGTGAGGTTAGACAGTCAATTAGAAATTTTTGTTTCTTGAGGTAGGCCTGTAGTGCTATGAACTTGCCTCTCAGAACCGCTTTTGCTGCATCCCATAGATTTTGTGTTGTTGTGTGTTCATTTTCATTGGTTTCCAGGGAGTTTTTAATTTCTTCCTTGATTTCCTCGGTAACCCATTCATTGTTTAATAACATGCTATTTAGCCTCCATGTGTTCAAATGTCTTTGCATGTTGTTGTTGCAATTGATTTCTAGTTTCATGCCATTGTGATTTGAGAAGATGCTTGATATGATTTCAATCGTCTTGAACTTGTAGAGATTTAGTTTGTGTCCTATCATGTGGTCTATCTTTGAGAATGTCCCATGTGCACTTGAGAAGAATGTGAATTCTGTAGTTTTGGGGTGTAATTCTCTGTAGATATCTATTAAATCCATTTGATCTAGTACTTCATTTAGAGTCTCTGTTTCCTTGCTAATTTTTTGTCTAGAGGATCTATCCAGTGCTGTCAATGGGGTGTTGAAGTCCCCTGCTATGATTGTATGGCTGTCAAATTCTCCTTGGAAGTCCTCCAGAAGATTTTTAATATATTTTGGTGTTCCTATATTGGGTGCATATATGTTTATCAAGGTTATATCTTCCTGTTGGATAGATCCTTTCAATATTATGGAGTGGCCTTCTTTGTCTCTAGTTATGGTGTTCATTTTGAAATCTATTTTATCAGATATGAGTATTGCTACACCAGCTTTTTTTTGCTTTCCATTTACTTGGAAAATTTTTTTTCATCCCTTCACTTTCAACCTATGTGAGTCTTTTGTTGTGAGGTGGGTCTCTTATAAATAACATATACATGAGTCATGCTTTCTTATCCAATCAGCTACTCTGTGTCTTTTTATCGGAGCATTCAGTTCATTTACATTTAAGGTGATTATTGATATGTACTTGTTTACTGCCATTTTTGTTTAGTGTGGTTCTATTTTTCTTCCTATTTCTTCTACTAATTACAGTAGTCCTTTTAACATTTCTTGCAGTGCTGGTTTGGTGCTAATATATTCCCTTAGCCTTTTTTTGTCTGGGAAGCTGTTTATTTGACCTTCTATTTTAAATGATAGCCTTGCTGGGTAGAGTAGTCTTGGATTCAGATCCTTGCTTTTCATGACCTTGATTACTTCATGCCATTCTCTTCTGGCCTATAGTGTTTCTTGTGAGAAGTCAGCTGAGAGCCTTATGGGGTTTCCTTTGTAGGTAACCTGTTGCTTCTCTCTTGCTGCTTTTAGGATTCTCTCTGTCTTTAATTTTTGGCATTTTAATTACTATGTGTCTTGGTGTGGGCTTGTTTGGGTTCTTCTTACTTGGGGCTCTCTGTGCTTCTTGAACTTGAATGCCTTCTTCCTTCACCAAATTAGGGAAGTTTTCTCTCACTATTTATTTCAATATATTCTCTAACCCTTGCTCATTTTCTTCTTCTTCGGGGACTCCTGTGATGCGAATATTATTACATTTCCAGTTGTCCCACAGTTCTCTTAAGCTGTCTTCCTGTTTTTTAATCGTTTTTTCCTTTTGGTTTTCTGATTGGTTGATTTTTTCTACCCTGTCTTCTAATTCACTGATCCGGTCCTCAGTTCCTCTACTCTGCTTTTTAGACCTTCCAATGTGTTTTTCATTTCTGATATGTCATTTTTTGTCTCTTCTTGGTGGTTTTTAATTTCCAATTGGTTTATTTTCAGTATCTCTATGTCCTTACTCATGTAGTTGAGCTTCCTCAAGATCATGGCTCTGAATTCTAGCTCTGTTAACTTGCCTAACTGCTCCACATTGATCTCATCTTTGGTGGAGGCCTCTTGTTCTTTCATTTGGCTTTTGTTTCTGTGTTTCACCATTTTGGCTATCACAGTGGGCTTTGGAGCCTGTCAAGTTTTCCCCGTGAGTGTTGGTGTTCTGCTGTTTGTGGCTCCCTCTCCTAGGTTTAGATGAGTGAGGGAGGACCCACGTTAAACACCACTGACAAGTCTTACTTTCCTGGTTAAAGTTGCCAGCCCAGGAAAGGTACTGTTATCCTCTAACTTTTTTCCTGGAGGCTAGCAGTCAAGGTTACTTGAAGAGTTTTGGGTTGTAAGTTGATTGAAAAACTCCCTCAGGTGCTCAGCATAAGGGGATTTCTCGAGGGTGGGGCAGATGCTGGTTGTTAATGAGCCTCAATTAGCATTTCAATGGCCCACAGGGTGGGGTTGGATCCCTGAGGGAGGGGCTGCTGCCTCTCCCCAGAGCCCTGGGAAGAAGCAATATGGCCACCGTCCTGCGTGGCAGCAACTCAGCAAAAGCTCTGAGTGCCCTCCAAATCCCGAGTGTCCCCACACAGTTCCAGTCCAGTCTGCCTCCCTCTGCCGGAGCCCAAGGTGAGTGGCTGTGGCTTTTTTAGCCTCTGTTCCAGCTCTGCGCTGTGGAGCCACTTGGGACTATAACCCAAGGGCACTGCTCCCAGCTAAGGCCACTGCCGAGCTGCCGACCGTGGGCTCCCAGCCCCCGTCTGGAGCCTTCGCAATCCTACCAGGATCGAGTCAGTGTCCCTGATTATATGGTCCTCGCAAGCTGCTTTTCTGTTGCTTTTTCCCGTTGATTTGTCTGTGTTATAGTTGTAATATTCCAGTTTGGTTCTGGGAGACGGTCTGTGTAGCTTCCGTTCACTCCGCCGCCATTTTGGATCTCCCCAGATGTTATTTAAATCAGTGTTACAATAAAGAAGTACGTTAATAAGGTCATTCCAATTCACTTTCCCCTAGTCTATAAACCCTGTCAGAGTTTAGGCAGGCCAACATTTCTCATGTTGAATCAAATTCATGTTTTCTGAATTATTAAATATGTACATATTTATTTATTTATTTATTTATTTAGTGTGGTATGTGCCCCTATTGGGAACCGAACCCGGGACTCTCTGGTCCACAGGCCGATGCTCAACTGCTGAGCCAAACTGGCCAGGGCTATGTATATATTTACATAAGTTACACTAATGTGTGTGTGTTCTATTTCAGAAAAACATTTTCATTAGCTTACCTCAGACTTTCGTTTCTTTCAGGGCAGGTCAGTTTTGAAAACTTAATGAGGTAGTCAAGTTCTTTTAAAGGCAAATACACTGCACCATTCAAGCCCTCCTTCAAGTCTTTCTGTACATGTTGCTGCGCCAAGTTCTGTAATACATACTGAACTTGAAGGATGGTGCAAAGTTTTTTCTTCTCGGCCTCAAGTTTTAGCATGTGCTCCCTTCTCTGAGCCTTCTTCTGAGTTTTAAGTAGCTGTGAAAACAAATGTTAAGGTTGACAACTCTCCACCACCATGTATTAGCAACTGTAGTCTAAAAAGAGTCTAATCCCAAAGAGCTGAGATTAGAGAGTAAATCTCATATGCAGGGTTGACAAAAGGAGGTTTACAATTCTGAGTACCCAAAACACAGTTTATTCTTGTATTATTATTTATTAATTACTGTATCATTTATCTGTATTACAACTATAAACCTACTTTTGCTCACCCTTGTATACAACACTGACTATGAAACTGATACATTCATTGAACCCTGCTTCCTTCTTCAGCTATAGAAGTCCCTGAGTAGTAAACTGGTTTTTCTCAGGTAACCAGAGCCAAGGGAGTCCAAATAACCTGACTATATCTAGTACCTCTAATATCGCCATGATGAGAAGCAAAGTACCTACCACTGACGTCCATATTAATCCAAAGATTGTACTTTTCTATATTTATGAATATCAAGTCTATTTAAACTAAATCTTTTAAGAAAATGTTTCATTTTGTTTTAGAATTTTTTTTTTAAATCTCATGTTCCAGGAGTATTTTCCAATATTTAGCTGACAAAACACATATGGAAAATTAGTGTCTACTCTAAAGCTCAGAACTATAACACCTTAAAGACCAAGATAATACATGGGTCCCAGAGGTGGTTTCCCAATTTTTAAAAAAACAATAAATAGTACTATGTATTTCTAATAAGAAACCTAAAAGTTCTTCCCATAGTTGTTTTTCTAATTGTAATGTTTACTTCATATTGGATATTTTCCAAGGTGTAAAGATTAAGAGATCAAAAAAAAATTTAAAAGATTTGTTGTATAGGTAGATTAAATTACTTTGATATAGCATCAGTATTTAAAATTCTACAAAAGAGATGTATATGTTAATAAATCCTAACAGAATACAGATTGAGGGGGGTAAACTCAGGGAAAAGATTCATTATGGCATTATTAATTCCTTTCTAGAGGGTATGAAAGCAAATTAATAAATTTGACTTGTGCTACTATCAGGGACAACAGACAAGGAATGAGGATAACATTTTGAGAACGTAGGAACAGGCTGCTTGGGAGTTATATGGCAAGGATATTTTTTTCAGGATGGCACAGGCACAGAAAAACTTTTCCAAGACTTCAATATGGACTTACAGCAACAATGATTAATCAACACTACTATAGGATTCTCAGTTTCTGCTTGAGAGGAGGAAGTACAGAGATGGCAAGTCTAGCTATCCAAGACAGTGGGGTCCACTGGACTGTCTCATGATGGTATAGGGAACCGCAATGGATGCTCAGAGCACCTTTAGGACTGTATCACATGATTACCTCAGATCTCTCGTTTGCCATCTCCCAAGGTTGGATTAGGTGTTCTTATGGGTTCATGCCACCCTGAACTTCCTCTATCCAAGTCTCTATTACATTAAATGGTTATCTTTTTCTTTATCTGCACTCCCCTCTCCTTGGGCTTCAATTCTAGGATGACAGGGACTATATATCTATTGTTCACCAATATATCACTAGTGCCCATCACAGAGCCTGACACATGACAGGACTTCATACACTTGCTGACTCAATCAAATATCAAGTAAGAAAGCATGTTGTGCCCATCAGGTGTGGCTCAGTGGATTGAGCATCATCCCAAGCTCCAAGAGGTCACCAGTTTGGTTCCCAGTCAGGACATATGGCCGGGTTTCAGGCACGATCCCCAGTACAGGGCATGCAGGAAGCAGCCAATGGATGTTTCTCTCTCTCTCTCTTTCTCCCTTCCTCTCTCCGAAATTGATAAACATATTTTTAAAAAAGGAGAAAGACAGAAAGCACCATGTCTCCTAGATTATAATCAGATGTTCATGTCTCAAAAATCACTGACCACAGCCTATTTCTCCTTATTTATACAGAAGTTAAGAAGTCAGGTCACATTTTCTTCTCTTCTTCCAGCTGAGGACTGGTTTGGAAATAAGATATGAAGTATAAACTGCTATCAACCAACAGTTTTGAATAATAAAATGTATTTTCTGAACCATGATGAAAAATGATAAATCCCCACCAAGGAACAGAGCTCATATCACAAAGACAAAGAGATGTGGCTGGGCTGAACAGGAAAGCTTTCAACTTGAGCTTGAAGGGAAAGAAGAAAATATTACATAAGTTGCAAAACTGGCTATCATTGAAGAGGTTTGACAAAAGGAACACTTTAGTAAAAGAAGAGCCCCCAAAATTACTAGGCTAGAAGGCACTGACAAGCACTTCTAGGGTCTTGATTTATTAAGACACATTCCAAAGAACTTTAGCAACTCACCTAAAGTGAAAGTATATCTTTAGTACAAATAAGGAAAAATAATCTCCTACATAACAACATAATGTGGTGGGTTGGAAGCTACCTCTAGACCAGTGATTCTCAACCTTCCTAATGCCACGACCCTTTAATGCAGTTCCTCATGTTGTATGTGGGCGTATCTGCATGTGGGCGGACCCGCCTGGAGACGGATAGAGGAGCAGTGTCTCGGTTCCTAAGACCATTGGAAATATGTGTTTTCCGATGGTCTTAGGTGACCCCTGTGAAAGGGTCGTTTGACCCCCAAAGGGGTCGCAACCCACCGGTTGAGAACCGCTGCTCTAGACTATAGCAGTGGGGAAACATGTACATAGATAGGTACCATTATCCATGGCATAAAGTCAAGAACAGTCTTTAGGAGTGAAAACTATTAGGGCCCTGCCTGTACTCTACCACTTACTGGCCATATGAGTTTGAAGAAGTTCCTTTTGTTCTGAGCCTCAGATTCCTTATCTGAAAAATGGGGCTACTTATATCTACTTCCTGGGTTGCTGTAAAAATCAAGTGGACTTTTGTAGGTGCCTGGCACATGGAAAGTGTTTTTATAAAAAAATTTATATCTTTATTTTTTTTAATATATGTTTTTTTTAAAACACTTGAATAGAAAACTAAACTTTGATAGGGTAACTTTGAGTAAAGAGTGTCAATGAAGAATTTTTAAGTATTATAAAAGTATACTTCTGCCCTGGCCGGTTTGGTTCAGCGGTTAGAGCGTCGGCCTGCAGTCCTGAGAGACCCGGGTTCGGTTCCCACTAAGGGCACATACTTCGGTTGCAGTTTGTCCCCAGCCCTGGTCGGTTGTGCGGGTGGCAGCCACTCGATGTGTCCCTTTCACATCGATGTTTCTCTCTCTCTCTCTGTTCCTCTCTCTCCCTCCCACTCTACCTGAACAAAAAAAAAAAAAATCAATAAAGAAAAAAAAAATTAAAAAAAAAAAAAGTATACTTCTGACCATCCAAACAGAAGGACGATATGAATAAACTTTTAATAGTAAAATGGCCCCAAACTAAATAAATTTAACATATTTGGGGGTGGAAGGAGTGGAGAATCAATCATACAAGAAGAAAATTGACTTAAAAGTATTGTATCTAAAATAAACTATAATTATTTAATAACTGTGGAATTAGCAGTAAGTACTAAAACTAAGTGATACATGAATTAACATGAGTTAAACTATGCTATGGTTGACAAAAAGAGTTACTATCATCTTAGACTTACATTAGCAAAAGTATCCAGAAAACAGAAGGTAGTTGTTCTATACTAGGCTATTTCAGATTTACACACTACCTTTAAGAGTTAATTAAGGCAAACAAGTGTTGGCGAGGGTGTGGAGAAAAGGGGACTCTAGTACACTGCTGATGGGAATGCAGACTAGTGCACCCACTGTGAAAAACACTATGGTGTTACCTCAAAAAGTTAAAAATTGAACTTCCATTTGACCCAGTGATCCCACTTCTAGGAATATACCCTAAGAAGCCTGAAACACCAATCAGAAAGAATATATGTACCCCTATGTTCATAGCAGCACTATTTACAATAGCTAAGATCTGGAAACAACCCAAGTGTCCATCAGTAGATGAGTGGATTAAAAAGCTGTGGTACATGTACACAAAGGAGTACTATGCAACTGTAAGAAAGAAAGATCTCTTATCCTGTGAGATGGCAGGGAAGCACCTGGAGAGTATTATACTAAGCGAAACAAGCCAAGCAGAGAAAGACAAATATCACATGATCTCACTTATTTATGGAATATAATGAACTAAACAAACTGCTGAACAAAATTAACCCAGAGACATGGAGGTGGGGTACAGGCTGACAAGCATCAGAGGAGGGGGAGGTTTGGGGGGTCAAAGATAAACCGCAGAACTTACATGCATGTACACATGACCAATGAACATAGACAACAAAGCTAGGGATGGGACGGGGGAAGGGAGGAGGGTGTCACTGGGGAAAAAATGAGAAACATCTGCAACAAAAACAAATTAATAAATTTAAAAAAAAATTTTTTTAAATGTTAATTAAGGCAGACATCCAGAAGCGAACAACTCAGGACTATATACCAGGATTAAGATGGTAGACAGCTTTAGCCTAGCAATTATGCTTTAAGATTTTGGCTTTTTTTTTGTTTATTGATTTTATAGAGAGAGGAAGGGAGGAGAGATGGAAACATCAATGAGAGATAATATCGAATGGCTGCCTCCTGCATGCCCCACACTGGGGATCGGGCCCACAATATGGGCATGTGCCCTGACCAGAAATCGAACTGGTGACCTCTTTGTGCATGGGTTGATGGTCAAGCACTGAGCCACACCGGCTGGGCTTATTTTTTTTAAATCCTCACCCGAGGATATCTCTCCATTTAGCTTCAGATAGAGTGGAAGGGAGGGAGAGGAAGAGAGAGAGAGAGAAACATCTATGTGAGAGAGACACATTGATTGGTTGCCTCCCACACGACCCGGACCAGAGCCAGGAACCGAACCCACAACCAAGGTATATGCCCTTGACTGGAATTGAACCTGTGACTCTTTGGTCCATGGGCCCATGCACTAACTGCTAAGCCAAACCAGCCAGAGTTTGGATTTTTTTTTCTGGTTTTTTGGAGGGGAAGGTACACCAGTGGTTGATGCGAGGAATGGAGAAGAGAATTTCAGTTCACCATACAAGAAGAAAGTAACCAAACAGTAGAAGAGGCTATCTTATGAGGCATACTCCCCAACCAAGAAATGAATTTACAAAATTTTTTCAACAGCTAGAACATAATCTTTAAAGGGCCTTCCAACCAAGATTGTAAAACAGTGAGGAATACTTCATTAATGAATGCTTAAGACTTTACATTAATTACTGATTCAATTTGTCAGAGATAACAGTTTGAATTGCCAACATAGAGAACCTAACAAGTGAGACCAGATTAATTCTAACCTAAATCATAAGTTTTCCTGGTAATAACTGCCATGGACTCAACAAGAGTCTACCAATCCCAAGTCTATGTTTCCTAATACGCTTCCCATGTCTCCTAATGCTAAACTTAGAAGCCTATACTATATAAATTTACAGGCCTATATTCTAAAATACCTTTAATAAATGTATCCGTAAAAATAGTTTTTTACTCCCTTCTTATTGATTTCTATAATTCCACAGTGAAACAATACACATTAATTAGATAACTAATGTTTTATTCACAGTGTCTCATACTCAGATGTCATTTGTATTCTCCTGAGGCTCCGGAAACCTGAAAACACGAGTTCTGGAGTAGCTATCCTCACACCTCATCCACAATAAAATATCAGCTGGAATTAGAAGGATGGTAACTAAACACCATCATTAGACTCTGACATTTTCTTCAGGAACAGTGACTGAACTGGTTTTAGGAAAAGCAAAGAAAACATACTCACATCTTGGCTCAGTCCTGAGAAGGTTTTCTGAAGCTCCTTGGCAAATTCTAAGTTATGTAGCACTTCTTCATATTTCTCTACTGCTTCCTACCAAACAGGAGAAGAAAACACCAACTCTGTGAATTTCTACATACAAATATGTTAAAAGAAGCTTTCCTTAAAAACATTAAGAGGAGACTTAAGACACTATGAATTAATGTTTACTGCTTATAATCAAAAAAGTAGAAAGAGTATTTAGAAGTTATATAGTTAAATTCTAAAATTCAAATGTTAGCCTGGCCAGTGTGGCTCAGTGTTGACCCATGCACCAAGAGGTCGCCAGTTCAATTCCTGGTCAGGGCACGTGCCCAGGTTGTGGGCCCGATTCCCAGTAGGGGGCATGCAGGAGGCGGCCGATTGATGTTCTCTCTCATTGATGTTTCTCTCTCTCTCTCTCCTTCTACCTTCCTCTCTCTCTAAAAATTAATAAAGAAAAAAAAACATTTTAAAATAAAAAATAAAATAAAATTCAAATGTTACACTAAAAATCTGAGCCATAATGATAATGATAATGATAATAACAGGTCTGAGTCCCTATCTATAAAGTCTAAGGTCAGAAAGACCTATAGGTTTTAAAAGCACTGAGCCAATGGGATTTCTGTCAATATTCATTTACTACTCAGATTACACAAGTAGCAAAATGCGGATCACACAGACTAATAAGCAACTTCAATAAATGTATACTGTTAGAAGAGACTTGTAAACAATTACCTATGACAGAGAAAATTAAATAAGATTGCAACAGAAATATTGTAAATTTAAAGGGACAAATTTTTTTAAGATTTCACAGATGAACAAAGTTGATCATTAGAGGAGATTTTTTATGGGACTTAAATTCAAATCCATATGGAAAAACAAAGGGCCAATATGAAACAGAACAAGGTAGGAAATGTGACTGACTTGATAAAAATACATTATAATTAAAATAGTATAGCACTCCATTTCCAGATATCTATCCAAAAAATAAATAAATAAAAACATTATGACATCAAGACTGGTATGCAAGTTTATATAGCAGCATTATTCCTTCTAGCCCAAAAATAAATACAATCTAAATATCCGGCAATTGGTAAATGGGTAAACAAAATGTGATATAACCATACAAAGAAATACTTGTTGCCCTGGCCGGTTTGGTTTAGTGGTTAGAGTGCAGGCCCATGGACCAAAAGGTCACAGATTCTATTCCCGGTCAAGGGCACCTACCTGGGTTGCTGGATCGATCCCTGGCCCCAATCGGGGTCATGTGGGAGGCAACCAAGCGATGTGTCTCTCTCACATGGATGTTTCTTTCTCTCTCTCTTTCCCTGCCCCCCCCTTTCCACTCTATTTAAAAATCAAAAAAAACAATATCATCAAATAAATATTAACAAAAAAGAAAAATAGTCCGGCCGGTGTGGCTCAGTGGTTGAGCATCGACCCGTGCACCAAGAGGTCACTGATTCAATTCCCAGTCAAGGCACATGCCCAGGTTGTGGGTCCAATCCCCAGTGGGGGGCATGCAGGAGGCGGCCAGTCGATGTTCTGTCTCATCAATGTTTCTGTCTCTCTCCCTCTCCCTTCCTCTTTCTCTACAAATCAATAAAGAAAAATAAACAATTTTTTAAAAGAATAATACTTGTCAGCAATAAAAAGAAATTACTAATACATGCTCTAATATGATGAACTGAAAAAAGATAATGCTAAGCCAAAGAAGCCAGCTGTGAAAGAAATACCCAGAAAAAATAAAATTTATAGAAACAGAAAGCAAATAAGGGCACAAAGGGAAACTTGGAGGGGTTATAAAACTTTCTAAAACTGGACTGTGATAGTTGCGTAATTCTACAAATTTACTATAACTTACTGAAGTCTATACTCACAGTGGATTAATTTTCTGATATGCATATGATACCTCAATAAAGCTGTTTTTAAAAACTCTATATTAAGCCTTTACAAAGAATAGAGCAATGAGAACGCCTATGTACTAACAGTATTCAGCTATATTGGTACAATAATTTTGGAAAACAGTTTGTCATTTTTACTTATGAAGTTCAGTATAAGTATGTTCCCTGAAAAACATTTTGTACCTGCCTCAATAATACATTTAAGATTGATCAAAGTAGAATACCAAAACATAATAGCAAGCAACTCAAACATCCATCTACTCAGAGACAACTGAGTAAAGAAAAGCAAATGATATATAGCTACCTGCATCAATATAAAAATTCTAAGTATGAGTGAAAAAGGCAAACTGCAGAATATATAGTATGATAGCATTTATTATAAGGTACAAAAAAAGCAACTCTCACAGATTTAAGGGCGACACACAAGTGCCACTGAAATAAAAGTAAAGGAAGAAGGGGGAAACAGTTCAGAGCAGGTTACAGGAGAAAGTCCTGGGAAGGAACTTCAATGGTGTCGGTTATGTACTATGTGAGCTGAGTGTAGGTTCTCATGTTGCTTTATCATGCATTGTAATTTATATGCAACATTTTGTTTAGAACATATATTTCATAATAAAAAGGAAGAGAGGCTTTCCAACTACAGAATCAAGAATGCACAGGTAACATAACCATAGGATGGTAAGTCCTCAACGTTATCAACAGGTTCTTGGAAAGTGTGACTGTAAGTGAAATGATGTATAATGAAACCAAGTTCACCAAAGGTTAATTGATATGAACAAGAGTTCAGTTCCTATGGCATATTTCTGATCACAAAAACATCAAACTTCTAAGTAAAGACCCCAAACACTTCTAATATGAAGCACTGAAATAAATATGAATACAATTTAGAAAGGTCAAAAAAAGAAAGCATGCATTTCCATCACACCTATTCCAGCTCAGGGTTGCGGGTGGCTGGAGCCTGGCGGGAGTGTAGGGCACCAGGTGGGAACCCACCCTGGAGCAGGATGCCTTTTGTCACAGAGCACACCCACACCCCTCACTCAGACTGCGACAGCGCACACTCGCCAATTCACCTACTGTGCACACCTCTGGGATGTGGGAGGAAACTGATGTTGGAGAAAACGCATACAGACCTGGAGAGAACATACAAACTCCACAGAGACAGTGGCTTTGGCCAAGAATCCTTTTTTTTTTTTTTTAAATCATCATATAACAAAGCAACATCGAAGATCTATAGTCCAAACCTCTATCCTAAACACTTACTAGAGATCACCCCTTCATGTTTCACAGGCATGTTAAAAACCAGTGGTCCAAAATTGAGCTCTGTATCCCATCCTTCAAAAACCTTCTTCTCTCCATGTATTTCCAAGCCCAATAAATGGTTTTGCCATCTCCCCAACTGTTCAAGCCAGAAACTCAGAAACCACGCTGGCTTTTCGCTCTCCTCACACATCCAGTTACCAAGCTATGTGATTTTACTCCTCAGATCCCACTACTTGACTCATAACCCTCCACCACTACCTACGTACCAGCTCCCTAATCTCTGACCTAGACTACAGCCGATCCTATCTAGTCTCCTAACATCCAATTTACCATCTCCAAAACATTCTTCACAGAAAAGGGATTTTTTAACTACAAATTTGTAGTTATTCTCTGGTTAAAACATATATATATATATATATATATATATATTATTTCTGATGCTCTTAGGAAAAAGCAGCCTTTACTTTTTAAAATATGTTTTTATTGATTTTAGAGAGAGGAAGGACGAGGAGGGGAGAGAGAGAGAGAAACGTCCATGGTTCCATCGATCAAACCAGCGACCTCTCAGTACATGGGACGATGCTCAACCAACTGAGGCACACCAGCCCGGGCAGGAAAAGCAGTCTTTGAATGGCATACAAGGGTCTGCATAATGTGGCCTTCCTCGTCCCGGGTCTTCACTCCATCCATACTGGCCTTCTTTCCCATTTCTCAGAAAGGCTCTTTGTGAAAACATGTTTTTCCTTCTCAGGGCCTTTCCACAGGTTAACACCTGCCTGGCCTGCTCTTGCTCTTTCTCTTTCCCCACTTTAACTAAGCAAGTCCTATTCAAGTTTTAGGTCTTAACTAAAGCACTTCTTTTTCAAAGAAGCTGTCCTCAACTCTCCACACCAGGTTGGAGTCCTCGTTACAGTCTATTATCCTTCTGTGCGTCACCTTAACACCTATCACCACATCTGCATTGGCTACTTCCTGCCTCTCTTCGCCATCACATTATATCCACGAGGGCCAGGATCACATGTATTCCTTAGGTATTATAACCCCAGCATTAAGTGCAGCATCTCCCGGAGTAGGTACTTAATACATTTTTGTTGAATGAATAAAAGGCTGTTCAGAACATGATCTTAGAAAGCCTCAAATATACTAAAGATTCTGAATAGAATTTAAAACTTTTGAAAAGAATCACATACTGAGATTTCTGTTTCAACCAAATAATACCAGAGGAAGTAGGACTGGTGAACTGGAAAAGAAGTTCTCAAGACAGGAGATTAATTAGGAAGCTTGTGTAACCTGCAGGTGGTTGGCCTTGACTAGGCCAAGAGCAGTGGGACCACAGCAGAGAAAAGAGTCCATATTACTTAATGAGCTTAGCATTCTGCATTAAATAGGATGTAGGGTCAGAGTTCAGCAACAAGGAATGAGCACCAAATCCTAATTCTTTAATGATAAAAACGTCAGTGTAACCCGGCCAGTGTGGCTCAGTGGTTGAGTGTCAACCCGTGCGTCAAGCAGTCACCAGTTCGATTCCCAGTCAGGGCACATGCCCGGGTTGTGGGCCCGATCCCCAGTGGGGGGCATGCAGGAGACGGTCAATTGATGTTCTCTCTCATCGATGTTTCTATCTCTCTCTCTCTCTAAAGATCAATAAAAGAAAAAAATTTAACTTCAGTAGAACCAAAAGCAGCCAGTACCCCTTGCCGTTTTGCTCAGGCACCCACTTGAATCTCAGTCCTCCATTTCCAATCCAGATAAAAACCAAAATAGATATAAATTTACAAATAGGACTCCAGAAAACATCATTAAGACTTTTTTTTTAAATCTTCACCCAGGGATATTTTTCCATTTATTTTCAGAGTGTGAGGAAGGGAGGGAAAAAGGGAGAGAGAGAGGGAGAGAGAGAGAGAAACATCCATGTAAGAGACACATCGATTGGTTGCCTCCCACAGGACCACAACCAGGGCCAGGGACCACGACCAAGGTACGTGCCCTTGACTGGAATCGAACCCGATGCTCTATCGGCTGATCCAAAACAACGAGGGCCAGGCATTCTTCTCACTATTTCAAAGAAGTATAGATGTATGTGTGCAATCGTGGTGAAATCTTAGCAGTCTATAACTTAGTCTTTACAGATTACTTAAGTGTTATGCTACTGAAAGAGGTTATAATTGCCATGCCAATCATAGAAAGCTTTATTTCCAATATTACAAATAAAGGTTGGGTTAGAGAATTACAAACTAAAATTATAAAATCTCTAGCCAAAAATATTGAAAATACACTATCAAACCTATAATACACAGTTAAAGCAATACTTAAAGGAAAATTCACAGCATTAAATATGACATCAGTGGAGAAAACAAGGAAATGAATTAAGCACTCATTATGAAGCAAATAAACCAAGAAAAGCAGAAAGATAATAGAATAAAATTAAGTCTATTTTTATTTTATTTTTTTTATCCTCACCCGAGGACATTTTTCCAATTTTTGTTCAGATAGAGTGGGAGGGAGGGGGAGAAAGAGAGAGAGAGAGAAACATCGACATGAAAGGGACACATCGAGTGGCTGCCACCCGCACGACCAACCAGGCCCGGGGACAAACTGCAACCGAAGTACGTGCCCTTAGCGGGAACCGAACCCAGGTCTCTCCGGACCGCAGGTCAATGCTCTAACCGCTGAGCCAAACCGGCCAGGGCAATAAAATTAAGTCTAAAATCCAGCTTAAATTTTTTTCAAAACCCACTAGCTAACAAATAATAGTAAACAAAAAATACAATGGCACAAAAGTTAGAAATAAACACAAAGTAACACAGAAAGAGAATTTTATTACTTTGCCTCTATCTGTGAAAATAAATTTTTGAAATTGAATGAAATCAGTAAATTTCAAAGTTTTGAAAAGGTTACCCCCCCCCACAAAAAAATATCTAAACATAACAATTTCCAAAGGAAAAAAATAGAGAATATAACCCAAAACTTGCACCTCCCCCCCAATAAGTAGGCTCAGATAATTTCACAGAACACTTCAAACAAACTTTAAAGATCATCCATTATGGGAGTACTGACACCATATTAAAAAGAAAGGAGTGGATAAATAGGTAGAACACAGTGGATTTTAGGACAGGGATAGTATTTCGTACAATACTATAATAGCGGATACATGTCTTCATACATTTCTCCAAACCCACAGAACATGTACCACCAAGAATGAACCCTAAATGTAAACCAGGAACTTGGAGTATTGATGATGTGTAAACCTAGGCTTAATTATAACCCGTGGGCCACTCTGGTCAGGAATGTTGGTAGTGGAAGAAGCTGTGCAAACATGGGGTCAGGGGTATATGGAAATTCTCTATACTTTCTACTCAATTTTGTTGTGAACCTGTAACTGCTCAAAAAAAAAAAAAGTCTACTTTTAAAATAAAAAAGGAAGAAGTAAAAATAAAGGGCCCAAAAGTATTTATATTAAGCTAAGTTGTATAGAAAATGAAAAAAAGAGAAGGCAAGAAGAACACTTGTTTATATAGGCTTAAAGAAATTGAACAGCTATATAAGAATCTATTAGCCATCATTGTGTCATAAAATGAGAACTGAACAGAGGAAGGGCAGGGTAAAAAAAAAACTGCATTTTAAAAAATATTTCCTAATTTCTGAACTATGGAAATTATCATCAAATTTAAAACCTAATCTTAGCCCAGCCAGTGTGGCTCACTGGTTGAGCCTCGAACCACACACCAAGAGGTCGCCCATTCAATACCCAGTCAGGGCACATGCCCACGTGGTGGGCCTGATCCCCAGTGGGGGGCATGCAGGAGGCAGTTAATCGATGTTCTCTCACTAATGTTTCTATCTCTCTTTCCCTCTCCCTTCCTCTCTCTCTAAAAAAAAAAAAAAATCAATAAGGAAAGAAAAAATACTTCATGACTGACAGCTGTTCTCTGAGAGGTCAGAATATAGATTTTTTTTCTGACTTAACTGCATTTTCTGAACGTCTACCTTAAATATAAAATGCCTGTATGAAATGTTATTTCTCAAAAGTACCACAAACCATATACTTAATCACATCAAGAAACCTAACATCCAGAGCGGCAGCAACGCAAGATGGCAGCCACCACAGGCTCGGGAGTAAAAGTCCCTCGCAATTTTCAACTGTTGGAAGAACTCGAAGAAGGCCAGAAAGGAGTAGGAGATGGCATAGTTAGCTGGGGTCTAGAAGATGACGAAGACATGACACTTACAAGATGGACAGGGATGATAATTGGGCCTCCAAGAACAATTTATGAAAACCGAATACACAGCCTTAAAATAGAATGTGGACCTAAATACCCAGAAGCACCCCCCTTTGTAAGATTTGTAACAAAAATTAATATGAATGGAGTTAATAGTTCTAATGGAGTGGTGGACCCAAGAGCCATATCAGTGCTAGCAAAATGGCAGAATTCATATAGTATCAAAGTTGTCCTGCAGGAGCTTCGGCGCCTAATGATGTCTAAAGAAAATATGAAACTCCCTCAGCCACCCGAAGGACAGTGTTACAGCAATTAATCCAAAAGAAAACCACAGGCCCACCCCTCCCCCGTTCGATTTAAGCAGTCTTCATTTTCCACAGTAGTAAATTTTCTAAAAGATATGTCTTGTAGACCTCAAAGTACTGGAAAGGAAGCTCCCATTCAAAGGCAATTTATCTTAAGATACTGTAAATGATACTAATTTTTTGTCCATTTGAAATATATAAGTTGTGCTATAACAAATCATCCTGTCGAGTATAACCACTGTTCACATAGTTGAACTTCTGGGATCAAGAAAGTATATTTAAATTGATTCCCATCATAACTGGTGGGGCACATCTAACTCAACTGTGAAAAGACATCACACAATCACCTTGCTGCTGATTACATGACCTGGGGGCTCTGCCTTCTCCCTCCCTCCCCACCCACCCCCACCTCCTTGCAACAGCCCTCCAGTTTGGGGTGGCTTGTTAGAGTAGATGTGAAGGTTTCAGGTCACAGCCGTGGGACTACTGCTGGGTGTGTGGGGGTGCTTCGTTTGCACCCGATTTCTTTTTTTAAGTCTTAAATGATGCCCCCCCTTCCAAGCCATCATCCTTTCCCCACTCTCTACTACCACCCTTGGCCGAAGCATAGATTGTAACCCCCTCTGCTCCCCTCCGAAATTGGCCTTTGGTGAGGAATTCAGGGCTTTCCCCATATCTTCTCTCCCCACCTTTATATCGAGGGGTGCTGCTTTTCCTTCCTCCTCAAGTCCTTTCTTGCACCATCACCACCCAATACTTTCCATGACACTCCCTTGCTTTGGCCAGAAGCCATCAGGTAAGGTTAGAAAGAATCTCTGACACCTCCCTCATTTAGTTTTGGAACCACATTCATTTAGTATCCACCAGCCTAGGAAATGAATATTGGGTCCTCAGCCCTGCCACCCTCTGCTGTCATTATCAGCTGATGCGTGTTTTGTTTTGTTTTGTTTTGTTTTAGCTCAGGAAGGCCACAGAAGACACTTGTAAGCACACATGATTCCTTTGAATGAATTTTTTTCTATTCCCATCATTGCTTTTGCTTTTACAAATTGAACAGGGCCCAGGTTTTAAACAGGGCTCTTATTTGGTCATCTTTGCAATCCATTTGGGTCTAGTTTGGAATCTGACAACTGGAACAAAAAGAACCTTGAATTTGGTGCGTACTTTGGTTTTGGTGCTGCAGCTTCTCACGGTCCTCAGCAGGGATTAAGAAAGAACTCGGGCCCTGGCCGGTTTGGTTCAGCGGTTAGAGCGTCGGCCTGCGGTCCTGAGAGACCCGGGTTCGGTTCCCGCTAGGGGCGCGTGCCTCGGTTGCAGTTTGTCCCCGGCCCTGGTCGGTTGTGCGGGTGGCAGCCACTCGATGTGTTCCTTTCACATCGATGTTTCTCTCTCTCTCTCTGTTCCTCTCTCCCCCTCCCACTCTACCTGAACAAAAGATGGAAAAATGTCCTCGGGTGAGGATAAAAAAAAAAAAAAGAAAGAAAGAACTCGGTGTGCACGGCAGAACCCCGAAATTGGCGGGCTTGACTTCCTGGCAAATTGCTGCGTTTTTCCACTTTTCTGTTCAGGACCACTAATTGCTGAGATGTGGATGCATACTGAAATAAAAGCGATTCATTGTGTTCTAAAGGATTTTTTTTTTTTTTTTTTTGGTAATTTAGTGTTTGTGTAAAACCACCTTTTGAAGCAGCAACTATCAAGTCTGAAAAGCAATTGATGTTTCCATTAATCTTTTTCTGGGGAAAACCTTAGTTGTAAGGATTTAACATACTGTAAGTAAAGTTTAACATAACAGTATTCCTCCATAAGCAGCCTTTTTATTGTCAGACCATTGCCTGATTTTAATATAATAAAAAAAAGTGTGCATTAAAAAAAAAAGAAACCTAACATCCAATCATCTTATATTTAGTGAATCTATATATAATAATCTATATGCCTACTATATACTACACAGTATCCTAAGTACTAGGAAAACAACAGACAAAATTTCTAATGAAACTTATACTGTAAGGGAAGGAGCGACAAAACTTTAGTTTGTCAGAGAAGTGCTTCTGTGAAGAAAATGAAAGCAAGGAAAGTAGTTAAGGAATGCGAGTGGGAAAATGGAGGTATAGTGTTGTCAGGAAAGGCCTTACTGAGATGACCTTCAAATAAAAAGCTGAAGGAGGGTGGAAGTTGAGCTATTTATACATCTGTTGGGGGGAACTTCCCAGGCAGTAGGAACAGCATGTGCAAAAACCCTGAGGTAGATGCGTGCCTGGGATGTTTGAGGAACAAGAAGGTCAGTGTAACTGGGTTGAAGCTAACAAGGGAGAGATGTGTAGGAAATGCAATAGATGTAAAAGGAAGTGGGGAACATACTTTATAGGACTTTGTAGGCCACAGTAAGGACATTCTGCCACCAGGATGGGAACCAATGGGGACTCAGCAGAGGAATGATCACCTGACTTGCATGTGAAGAGGATTACTGAAGCTGCTACACTGAGAATAGAGTCGAAGAGAGAGGGCAGAACAGAAAAACCTGTGAGGAAGCTATTACAGTAAAGCAGGTGAAAGATGATGTGGCTTGGACCAGGATAACAAAAGCAGAATTTATGAAAAATGGTTAGTTCCTAAATTTATTCTGAAGGTTGAACTTATCAAACTGGCTAACAGGCTAGATGTAAGGTATAAAGAGAAAGATGAGAACTTCTCCAAGGTTTTTTGGCGACTCCATCCTGCTGGCCCATCAAGCCATTAATTGACATAGCTACAATTACAGGGGATACAGATTTTGGGGGACACTATAAAATCAGACGTCAAATAGGCAACCAGACAAAGGACTCTAGAGTTTACAACACTAATCTATTGGCAATATAAAACTGGCAGGTGGCAGCATATTTCTCAAAAGAGAAATCCAAGTTAACATTACAGAACAAGTGCTTATGAAAATGGTAAGAAATGTTGAGATTGAAGTTTGCCTGGTTGGAGCTTTGAAATATAGCAATGTCCTTGATATTTCTTAGAGAGCTACCATGAAAACCACCAGCCTCCAATATTTCCCCCAAATCAACACTACTACCATATCAGAACACTTCCTTCAAGGATATTTACACATGTTACCTCAAAAAATTAAAAATTGAACTGCCATTTGACCCAGTGATCCCACTTCTAGGAATATACCCTAAGAAGCCTGAAACACCCATCAGAAAGAATATTTGTACCCCCATGTTCATAGCAGCACTATTTACAATAGCTAAGATCTGGAAACAGCCCAAATGTCCATCAGTAGATGAATAGATAAAAAGCTGTGTTACATATACACAGTGGAGTACTATGCAGCTATAAGAAAGATCTCTTATCCTTTGAGATGACATGAAGGGACCTGGAAAGTATCATCCTAAGCGAAACAAGCCAAGCAGAGAAAGACAAATATCACATGATCTCACTTATTTGTGGAATATAATGAACATAACAGTCTGAGGAACAGGGTAGTCCCAGAGACGTGAAGTGGGGTACAGACTGACAATACCTTGAAGAGGGGGTGGGGGAGAGAGATAAACCACAGAACTTATATGCATGTATGCATGAACAATGGACATGGACAACAAAGGTGAGGACAGGGTGGGGAGGGAGGGGGAAGGGAATCAGTGGGGGGAAAAGGAGAAACATCTGTAACAAAAATAAATTAATTTTTAAAATAAAAGAATATTTACACAAAGAAAAGGTTTACCACTCTAGAAGTTATTGAACATACCATGCCTACTTGGAAACAAAGCCATGTTGAAATGCTGGCTGTCCAGCTAAGTCCTCTCACCGGCCACACGAGCACATCATTCTCGGAGCTCACACAATTCAAAGCTGTGCCTCAGCAACATTGTAATTTACTACACAAAGATTCAAGGCCAGTGAAGAAGAGTCAACGTGGCAAGGGAAAAGTCCTTGAATGTCAGTATCTATGTTACACAACCAAAAATCTTTGTTGAAAAAGATAAAAGACAACAGCTGTACAAATAACTTTTAGGTTAATAAGTTCAAATAACTTTTAGATTAATAAGGCCCAGGAGGTGTGATCAAGTCAAAATGGCAACCATCACTGAAGCATTTCTTTTTTATTTCCATATTGCAAAAGCTCTCCTCCACCAAATTAAACAAGATTTGCAATTACCAGGTACACCATGAACAAGTTAAACAACATTTTTTAAAATTATAAATAGTCTGATATTTATAGTAAGGTTCAAAAAAAAAGGCCAGATAGCACAAATATCACTCTTCTTTTTTTGGCCTATCAGCGTTTTGGTCTCATCAAATCTACCTACAGTTTTAATAAAAGGAAACCAGCAAATTTGGCCAAACAATCGTAAAATCACTTACCAATTGGTCTGGATTAAGTTGCTCTCCATTTTTCAGGCGATCCCTGTAATCTTCCAATTTGAGCTACAGAAGAGAAACTTGTATCTATTATAATCTGATATAAAATTCTCGGGCAAATAAACTAAATACTAGACTTTGTACCTTTTGAAAACAAAGTTCCTGAAGTAAGCTATCAATCTGCAAAAGTATCATTTTACTACAAAGCAGGCAGCAACTGAGTTTGTGAATTCGTTATAGAAAAAACAAATCACACACAATGAACATTAGTATGGAATTACAAAAGTGAAGTAATAAAACCCTTTTATCTAATAGCCTCTCTACATATTTAGACTACAGAGACTTAACTAGTCAATCATATTCCCTTAACCCAGTGTGGCTCAACTGGGGCAATTTTGTCCCCCAGGGACATCTGGCAATGTCTGGAGATACTTTTGGTTATCACAAACTTGGGGGATGGCAGAAAGGTGGAGCATGCTACTGGCACCTTGTGGGTAGAGACCAGGGATGTTGCTAAACATCCTACAATGCACAACACAGCCCCACACAACAAAGAAGTATCCAGCCACAAAAGTCAATAGTGCTGAGGCCAAGAAATCATGCTCGAACCTCACGCTTAAACCATTAGCCACCTGTTGAATTATGTAGCATGTATGGGATAGAAAACTTCCTTGTGGAAGTACAGGAATATAAAAGATTTCTTTTCTAGCATTAGTAGCCTCAAACTGAAGCATTTTTTATATTAAATTTGACCTTTAAGTAAACACATGACAAATACATTACATTTATTGTCCCCGTAAAAATTACATGACCTACACCATGATGATATTCTAAAGGCCATGTTTAGGCTCCTGCCATTTGGTTTCATAGCTTTAAAATGCTTTCCCAGAAGCTTCAAACAAAAGCTTTGGTCCTGTCAGGTAGCTATTCAAAGAGGTAGTATAATTAAGCCAGAGAGTATAAGTATACCTACATACGTAGTTCTTCCACCTGGGAGAAGACATTAACAAGTCTCTATCAGCAGATCCTGCTTTGAATAGATCCAGCTCTGAGACTGGTTTCCACAGTGGCAGGAAATTTGTGCTGACCTAGGTACACTCACTTTATCACACTTGTGATCAACTGTACGAATTCAAGAGACACCCGGTGAGAGCTAGGGCTACAGCGAAGCTACTAGTAAGTGGTCCTTCTTCACTACCTTCCTTCCTGTGTATATTTTTTAAAATAAAAACTTTTTTATAAGGAAGAGAAACAGAGTCAATTCAACTCTTTTTTTAAAAATCTCTTCACACCCCTCCATTAAAAGCAACTTTCCTAAGGTTTAACTAGGCCTTGGCATAAACATATTTAAGAGTTCCTAGGTCAAAGTGGCCTTACTATCACAAGCAAAGAGAATCACGACACAACAAAGCAACATCCAGTACTGTTTCACCAGGCACATGACTCAGGAAATGAGGAATGATTTGGATCTTTACATCAGCATTTACTGCAGCCTTAGGCTGATTATAACCCCTGCGTCCCTTTACAAGTCTCGCTACAATGCTTTCACCTACCAATCTTAAATGATCACCTAGCAACACAAAAATTAGTGCTAAAACATTTTCTGGCTCTACCATCATTAAAGCTTCCAATGACTGCAGCATCTATACTGCAATATCAACTGCTGCAGAAAGTCACAAGGGAAACGAGCTTAAAAATTCAGGCAATCTATGAAAAGTAACATTAATACTACACTCAAGGAATTAAACTGACTAAAGTAGCTAGCTCAAGTATTTCACCAGCAGTATGCATAATTTTCCTATGAAGAATATTTTTATTCCGTTATGCTGACAAATCAAACAGAAAATGTTTAATATATCCAATATTTAGCCTGCTTGCAAGTTTTCAGCCAGCTAAATCCCAAGGTTAGCTAAATCTTTAGGAAGAAATCTATGAGCCCTGGTTGAAAGCCACAATGTCAGTTCCTTAACCCTTATTTTAAATGGTGCATATACTTGGTGGGGAGGAGGAAAAAAAGTTACCTTCTTTTTTTCGATGTTTCTAATTTTGTGTTTAAGGCATATGAGTCCATTATCAATATAGGTCTCATACGCTTGAGAAGGAGAGGAAGCGGACCTGAGAGGAGACTGCAAGGGGCTCATGGCCCGCTGGTTTTCCCCATGACTGTGGTTTTCTTGGGGCTTGGCTGACTTCATATTCCCCTCTCTTCCTTCCTCTGAATGGCCTGAAGGTGACTGATAACCAGAAGAAGATGAAGAGAGCTGCACCATTGAAACAGTTGATCCTGAAAGAAGGAAGAAAAAAAAGTTAAATATCAAAGTAAATTAGGGCTAGAGGGGCACATCCAGGCTTTAACTTCCTTAAAAAATCTAGACATACTCCCCCAAAATTCTCTTCCACGGAAGTGAGCTCAAAACTCGATGGTGCTTCAGAGACCTGCTTCCATCTCACTACTCCTAAGGCAATCAGTGCCAAGGACAAGCACCTTTATGTGGGCAAAATCTACAACATGGGGAATGTTTCCAGAAACTCAATTTTCCACATACAAGGAACAACTGCTAATCAAGCAACGGCTTCAGAGCTCTTCTCAAAACAGCAGTCTGCATTCTGAGTAATTTCCACGGTCAGGTGACGACACACGCACAAATAAGCTTTCCCCATTGGGACCTTAAGGCAGCCATTCAAACCTCTTTACGTTATCCCTCACCACCAGCCTCAACCCCAAGCATTAGCAACATTTTTTTTTTAAATACCGAACACACACCTTTTTTGGAGCTCTCATTCCCTAATTGAAAAGTAGATTTTTGAATAAGAATGTTCACTTCCCTTTGCTTGCTCTGGGGCCAACAAGGCAAGTCCGTCACCACTGAACATTTGTAGCAAGATACTCTCTGGAGCTGCGAGCGCTCTAAGTTGGTTTTCTGTTTTGTTTCAACTAACACTTGACCACTCACACCCAACCGGTGTGAAGGTTCCTCTTGGCGGGCCTGACACGGCCCTAGTCAGTGGCTTTCGCACACCTTTCATCCCTGCGCATCGGAGGTGGACATACCACCCCGTTTAGTGGGATCCCCAAAGGAAGGGTATAATGGGTCCCGCGCACCTCAGCGCTGATCCCAAATCCCCGCAGGGGCCCGCGAGCGAAGCGCCTCCACCCGGCCGTCAATCAGCGCCCGGAGGGCACCGACCCCCCGCCCTTCCCCCAGCCCTCCGGACGCCGAGGACCAGCCGGGACGCTTTTGCAGGTGCCTCCACAGGGCAGCCCTACCTGGAGAAAAACGCCGGGGCCACCTGCCTGGGGGGCCCCTCCACCTCCCCGCGGCTGGGCACCCAGCCCAGCCCACCCTCGCCAAGCCAGCCGCCGCCTCAGCCGCCGCAGCCTGGCCTCACCTCCGCAGGCCGCCGAGACCGCTGCGGCTGCCGCAGCCCGGCCCCGCCTTCGAACGCGGGCGGGAGCCAGGAGAGCTCCGTAAGTGGACCGGCGCCACCCCGCCCGGCGTCTCCTCCCGGGCCCCTCCTCTCGCTCCCGGGCCTCGCTGGGGTGTCTGCGGCCGGGGGCTCCACCGACCCGGCGCTCCGGGCCTGGCCAGCGCCGTGGGCCGCGCGGGGCTTATGTAGGCGCGCCCCCCTCACGCGCCCGCGCGCGCTGCCCCGTGTCGGCCGACACCGCCCCCCTCTGGTGCCCCCGCCGCGGCCGCCGCCAGCCTCGGCCCGGGGGGCGTCTGTTCCACGTCCAGCTGCCTCGGGAAACCGATCGCGAGAGGGCGCGTCGTCCCCGAGATTTCGCGGATCGCGGGGCACGAGGTGGGGCCGCCGAGACGCCAAGAGCCGACCCGCGGTGGACCCCGAGGTCCTGGCGGACCTGGCTGGTTGCAAACAGTAATCATCGCACGCGCGGCCCCGAACAGGTGATTTCGATCACTCGAAACAGGGCCGCGCGCCCTCCTTTGTGGAATTGCCAGTTAAGCCGAGCCTGAGCCGCTGGTGGTTCAGGTGGGCACTGGAAAAACAAAGGTGCTTTTGCCCCCACCCCACCTCCCTTGATGCCGGCCTTCACGGGCTGGGGAAACCCACGTGTCCGAGGAAAGGACTCGGGCTGTGAGAGCAGAATGCCCCGGCATTGCCATGAAAACGGAGTGAGTGACTCTGCAACCTTCGATAATAAAAGATTGTGTTTGTTTTCGGCTGTTCCATTTGCTGCTTTGAAACAGGAATTAGTTGGCACTCAGAGGAAAAACTGATACAAAATGTTGGTAAGGTTGCATAAAATTAAGAGAAAAGGCTGAAAACACGTGAGTGTTTCTGAAGGAAGGGATGATGTTTATCATACCAAACGAATAAGAGGAGGGGAGGAAAAAACACCACCCAGCGATACTTCGGCCCCAACATGTGTACAGCTGGTATACCAAATAGAGTTGTTTTAGGTTCTGTCCCTGAGACTGATAAAATTTATTTAGACTAGCAAGAGAAGAACAGAGAAAACTCAGAACTATAATCAAGGGAGCAAAGGTCCAAGTTTAAAAAGTGTTGGCTGAGCCCAATATCATCATGACTTTTAACATTTCTAATAAAATAGTTTCGTTATTATCTGTGTTCTTTTCAGTCCTTAGTGATGTAATGTACCTTAATATTGCATTTTTGCTTTGAATCTCTTAATTCCATATGTGTCCTTGAGGGCCAGGAAAATATTAGATTGTTGATTGTTTCATGGTTTATAACCAGATAAAGAAGAGAAGAGAACTGCAGATGAGGAGAGGAGGGCTATGCCTTCACCCTTGAGGAAAACCCAAACAGTGGGCATAGCTTTAAAAAAAAAAAAAGTGTGAAGGGTGCAATTTTGCATCAATGAGTAGGCACAAAGTTACAGCAAGGTTATATCTATTATAGCCTTATTTAATAATGACTCTAAACATGGTATATCAGTCATATTAATGGTGAAATGTTTGCTTTCTGATTAACCAAGGGAAAAATATCCCTTGGGTCCTATAGATCTAGCCATAGATCCTAAATATTCCACTAAGTAGAATAATTCTGAATAAATCTATACAGACTTATTTCCAAACATTGATTCAGAAAATGAATTTTAAAAGACTACAAAAGCAAAATTAAATTTCAAAGGCAGTAAAGTACAGTCTGTATAAGCATAGCATAACATTTGTAAGAGATTGGATCTCAGTGGATAATGTTGCAGCAATGTCTTCTGAAAAAAATTAAAAAGGTGATTTAGAAAAAAACTTTCCTGCTTGAGAAGATCTTTGAAACCAATTCATCTGGCTTACTTGGAAAGCACATCCCCCCCCCCACACACACACACACACACTCACTCCATAATTTTTATTTGTCAGGGGTTTTGTTGATCTCCTCCCCCCAACTTCCTACTTTCTGTAGCACCTTGATTTGTCCTGCCAACTGCGAGGCAGTATTTGTGGAAAGTTACCTCCAAGCTCAGCTAGGAATTACTATATTTAAAATACGATTTAAAAATAAGTGTTGTTTTAAGTCAATGTGGGAAGAATACATTCATTCACTCACTCAACAGATGTCATATGTCAGTTAATCTCAATAAAGCTGGGGGGAGCAAATATTTATTGGGCACCTGCTAAGTCTTGGTGATAGGGATATAATGGTGAGTGAGACAAATACTGCCCTTGCCTTCATGGAGCCAAGTGGGAATTCAACAAAAGCTACAGGAATAAATAGCAAAAATAACCAACTCAATAAAATAAAAAATAAAAATACTAACAACTTATAATGGATGGCCAAACTTTACATCCCTTGCAAACAGGAGGGTTTTAAATACCCATTGTCACCCAGCCTGTGTGGCTCGGTGATTGTCAACCCAGGCACCAAGAGATCGTCATCAGGAACCTGGTCAGGGCACGTGCCCAGGTTGTGAACCTGATCCCTGGCAAGGGGCATGCAGGGGGCAGCCAATCAGTGTTCCTCTCATCGATGTTTCTGTCTCTCTCCCTCTCCCTTCCTCTCTAAAATCAATAAAAAAATTTTTTTAAAGTAATAATAAAATAAATACACATGGTCTGGCAAATCTATGCTTTTTGCAATGATGGTTATGCTGTCACCACTTAAAATTAATACAACTTCATGTTGTTGAAATTGGAAAGATTAATTCACGAAGGGATGTTGGAGCTGGTAGCATAGAAGTAGAGATATGAGAAATTGTCTTAGATATTTTGTTATGCGTGATAGAAATCTGCTTCTCAGTGGCTCTACAAGGCTTTGTGGAGTGTTCACACACACACACACACACACACACACACACGAGAAAAGGGACCAGGAAAATGAACAATAAATCTGTGAAAGATAGATTGCCTGGTAACAGTTAACAAAATAACAATAAAGTTGTGTTACAATATTGCACTTTCACAGAGTTTCTGATTCATAGGTCATCTCTTCATATATTTGAGGAGAGAAATGTATGAAATTAAAGGACCGACCAATATAGATATCAGGTAGAAAAAAAATTGCCATAACAGTTTAAAGCATTTTTGAGAGAATTCCTATAGTTTCTAAAATTAATATTTTTGTGGGCTTGAATTTTTCATAAAATTATAGTATCATATCCCCAGTGAATTTGTTTATACTGATTTCTCGTATTGAAGTTAATGCATTAATAGTGCTTCACCATTAAGTCCCTTAAAAGCAAAAGTTCTTAGGAGAGAAATGATCAGTATAGAATTTGTGAGTGTGTGTGGTTAATAATATCAAGCCCATAAAAATACTATTTCTGTCCAACACTGAAATATTATGAAGTATCAACTGCACAAGCTTGGGAGTCACACACACCTGGATTTGATTCTTACTTTTGCTCCTTGCTAGTTGAGTGATTTGGGAGCAAATTACCTAAATTATCTGGGCTTCAGTTTCTGCAGCTATAAGACAGAGATAATAATACCTGCTTAACAGTGTTGTTAGGGATTTCGTTTTCATTTATTAAAAAAAAAAAAAAATCTCAGTATAATAGCTTTACTTACTTTTTTTTCCCCTAGCGGGAACCGAACCCAGGACTCTCTCGTCCGCAGCCGATGCTCAACTGCTGAGCCAAACTGGCCAGGGCTACTTACTTTATCTTTAAAATTAGGAACAGACCTGGCCAGTGTGGCTGAGTGGTTTGAGCATTGTCCCATGGACTGAGAAGTCCTGGTTCAATTCTCAGGTTGCAGACTTGATCCCCAACCTAGGGGGTGTGCAGGAGGCAGCGACTCAATATTTCTCTCTCACATTGATGTTTCTATCTCTCTCTTCCTTCCTCTCTCCAAAAAAAACAAAAAAAATAGGGACAGTTAGGAGTTTTCTAGTGCAGTGTGCATTCCCAGCTGCTTCAGCCCTTTTCCTTGCTTCTTTCATAGAGTAAAGTGTAGAAATAGGCAGTTACACTGGCAGAATTGAATCCAAAAAGAATATAAAGTCCAGTGTTATCGTATATTCAAAGGAATTCATTCAATAAGACATCTCAAAGTAGTCATATCTTTTGATCCAACAGTGCTTGTTTTAGGAATGATCTCTATGGAAAGAATCAGATATGCAGACAATAACTTATTTATAAAAATGCTAATCACGATGTTTTTTTAAGTGATGAAAAGTTGTAAACAACAATCTAGGCATTCGACTTAGAAATAGCTAAATAAGGTAACTAATCCATGAATTATAATTCAGCCAGCACAGATAATTTTTAAAATACGTTTTTACTGATTTTAGAGAGAGGAGAGAAAGAAACATCTATATGAGCGAGAAACATCCATCGGTTGCTTCCATCGGCACCCTGACTGGGGATGGAACCTGAAACCTAGGCATGTGTCCTGACCAGAATTGAACTGGTGACCTTTTAGTGCATGGGACAACACTCAGCCAACTGAGCCACACGGGTCAGGGCACAAATAATCTTTTAAAAGATTATTCAATGGCATGATATTATATGAAGTAAAAGAAGAAGAAAAAAAGCAGTCAGGCTCATACAACAGGCAACTGATGGCGCTCTCTCTCTCTCTCTTTCCCGTTCCTTCCTCTCTTTCTCTAAAAATCATAAAAACATATCCTCAGGTGAGGATTTTTTTTTAAAAGGAGAGATCAATGCCATTGAAGGAAAATTTTTTATTACATATCCCAGGAGGGGAGAGGAGGCAGGAGCAGGAGCTAGAGGAAGGGCTGGGCCAGAGCTTTAACTGGGGTTTCTGCAGAAAAGGCAAGACAGGACAGAGGAAGCAGTTTAGAATTGGCTGGTCTGAATATTTTCAGTGGGCTTGCAGCTATGGGGGTGCTGTCTAGTTGCTGTGGGATGATGTAGTGCAGGGGAAATATTGGCTGGGTGTGTGAGTTAGGTAAGATGTGTGAGTTTCAGACAAGCTGATGTGTAGGACAGAAGCAAACCTTTGGATGTGATTAATGGATGCCAAATGGACATACAGAATCTAAGAAAACACAGAACAGATACCTGTTACTAATGGCTAAATAATATGTCCTGACTGTTAGAAGCCTCAGCCCTGGGAACTACGCTTTTCTTCCTACTTTACCCAGTCGTTCTCTCTCCCTCTAGGCTCC